CCTGACACCCTATAGGGTCCTCCAGACCCTGCCAAGAGTGAGCCCTGAGTGAAGATCCAGGTGTGAGCCCTGAGCACTGCTGGATATGACCTAAAAACCAAATAAGAGAAATGTGATAGAATTTTTAAAGCAATTTTTATAAGTCACAAAAATAAAAATGGATTTTACTATTTGAAAAGTAAATCAAGTCCTGTCTATAGCAAGATCCTGTCACTAGATGGGTAAATTGGATTGGGGGGAGAGGGGACTCTCCCAAGCAATGCTACATGGGCCCAGGGCCACTCCTGGTCACAGCTATATATGCAGCTCATAAGTAGTTGGTGCCTCCGGCTGTCTTCAGCTCAAAGCATGCACTGCTGCTCAGGCCTGGAGGTCAGCACCAGGGCTCATCTGGGCTCATCCACTGAACGAGCTCAAGTAACCATGTGGTGATGGGGATCAGGCTAGCCAGGCACATGCCTTACCTTAGAGGAGTAACTTTTAAAGTTTGCTGGAAAAACAGCATTAAATAAATATTTTTTGTGTGCAGTCAATCAATAACCCCAAAAAAGCAGCTTTTTAAGTTAATTGATCATTTGAGAATGGCACAGCATTACTCTGGGGAAATGGTAAAAATATGCGGAAACTAAGTGAATTTTAAAGCTCTGGTAAAAAGTAGCACTTGAGATCATTAATAATGGTTTCAGAAATGTAACATACACTGAAAAAGAAGCACCCCTTTTAAGTGGCAGAGCACTTTAGCCTATGATTCATGCATGAACACTGCAATTTTTTAAAGTTTGTACTTCATCAAATTGCATGGTATATTTTAGCACCACTTCATAAAAAAAAAAAAGTGGCGGGTGGTAAGTTGTAACATTCCAGGGCCTCAAGTGGACCTTTCAAATATAAAGCTTTTCTTGTCTCCGTGAAATAAAGGTTGAATAGAACAATATTTTAGAGTGCTGTAAATTCCATTCTTTCTGAAGCAGAAATACAGGAGAAATGAAACTACTCTCAATACTTTAGGGAATATGAGTTACTACCAAAGTGTTGAATATTCTCATTACCATACTTAGACTAAATGGCCACCCCAGATAGTCATCTGTTAAAACGCTCCTTTTGCTTTCTTGGCAATTCACTTTAACAGATGAGTGGCTTCATTATTGCAGTGTCTTTGCTTATCAGTGTTGAAAAATAACTGAAGTAAATTTCTATTATGGTACCTGAGTAACTCCTATGACCTCTAGGCTTCGAACATTTTTTCTTTTCTTTCATGGAAAAAAAGAAATGTTAAGTTTAGTTAGACTTCTTTAAAACATTTAGATCATCAATTACTCTAATTGGATTACATTTACATAACAGAATCTTAGAAAAAGAATCTGTAACCAGTTACTGTCCACCTTGACACAACTCTGGAGTATTCTAGAAACATTTGTTTTTTGCTGAAATAACTTGGAGGTTTTTAGTGCTTGGCATTCTTAAAATAAGATTGAGAAAATCTTTTAATTAATATATTAAAGAAAAATACTTTCAAATAAATTCCAGTTAAAACATCATTTTCCTATGCCTTAAAAAGTAAAATAGTAGCAGATGATAAGAGAACATCTTAACATTATTTTTGCTATTTATAGAAATGAATTTTAGAGTTATTTCTATCAGGACTAAATTTTGGCAGCACATGGGTGTATTTTATTTCAAGTTACTTAGTACTTAAAACTGGAACAGTAGTTGTCTTTCAGTTTTGTTTTCAGCATATGTTATGCTGCAGGAGTACTTTCTATATTCTGAAAGGTCACTGCAAAAATTTTCTCTTATGTTTAGGAAGGAGGTAAGTATTACCAAAAGGATGACTGAATACTTTTGTCCATGATAAGCCAAAAATTTGGGATTAGATTCCATGATTGGTTTTAAGGAGTCAAATTTTGATGAAAGGGATTTTTTGTATACTAATATCTAGGTATTCAGATTAGAAATCAAAATGAATATATCTTTTTATTCACAGCGTCAGTGCCTACACAGCTATGAATGTTTAAATAAAAGACATTTTTATTCACAAAGATGCTTTCCTGCTTAGAGTCTTAAATTACTATTAATTAAGCACTATGTAAAATAATAGATAATTATAGTGCTTTAATGTGGATGCCAGTGGATTTGCTAGTCTTTCTAAATGACTATTGTTGGCTAATAGTCTTCAGGGGATCATTTATATAGCCATTGTGGTTCTAAGAATATCTCTGAATACCAATGGGATAGTCTTTTTTTTTAAGCATAGCTATTATAAATCCATTTTTATTTCAAGTATGTTGTTTTGATTTTATCACTCAGTTACTTTCCTGTGCAGCAAAAATTATACCAATGTTGAAAGTGAGAAGAAAGGAAAGTTCTCTACATATAGAAAATCTCAGGATAGGAGTTAGAGTTAGAGTTGAGATATGGCCATGAGCAATTTGTTCTATTCTTTAGGATATTTTTTAGCTCTTCTGTTCATTAGAATTTTAACCAGAGATGCTTTCTGTAGTCCCATTGTTTTTATTTTAATTAATATTTTTATGACAGAGAGATAATTAGGTGAATGCTATTTAATATTAAATATAATGACTTAGGCAAAAATAAGCATTTCTGGGTCAAAACCCGTAGCCAAATATTGTCATCTCCAAGCTGATAAATTCAATCGAATGCCATTGTCCCTTCAGACCCTCCTAGACACTCAGTAGTCATTCATTACCAAAGGCTGTTCCAGAATGAAATGTCTGATTATGTCAAAGTTAATGGTGCACTTTTTAATCTGTTACTAATGCAGTCAATCTTGATGTGAGAATAATTCCAACCTCATTAAGCTAACAGCTACAAGGAAGAAGGTTCCAACAGTGTGAGGCTGACTGTCACCCTAAAGGCTGATGTGTGAGGTCCTCAGTGCTGTTACCTGCAAATTGTTGTCCCTGATCCATAAGGGTCTATAGAAAACTCCCAGTAAAGGCCCCCCTGATCCCTGCTTCCTATATGCAACACTGATATAGAACAGACTCAATGTCTAATCAAACTGGAGAAGTTCATGAGCCTGATTTGTAGCATTTCTAGAGAAATGCTAGACTTGGTGACCATTCCAGACCTATAGTGTCTCAGTAAGAATGTTCTAAGTTGTTTTCCAAAATATCATAGAGGTTCAAGCACAATGCCTTTGTGTGATTTAAATTGTCACTATTTCAAAAACTTGTCATGCATGACACAGAGTTGAGATATGGCCATGAGCAATTTGTTCTATTCTTTAGGATATTTTTTTAGCTCTTCTGTTCATTAGAATTTTAACCATAGATGCTTTCTGTAGTCTCATTGTTTTTATTTTAATTAGTATTTTTATGACAGAGAGATAATTAGTAGCTTTGTGTTCAAAATATAGCCTGTTTAATCTACAACATGTAAGGTAAAAGTTGCTGACTTTTACTGCTAAAAATTTTTAGTCTTTAATCTAGACGAACTAACTTCACTTTGTTTTTATATTAGTGAGGTGGGTACACCAGGATGTGCTCAGGGTTTTCTCCTGCCTCTCCACTCAGGGATCACTCCTGGCCATTCTCGGGGGGACCATGTGGGGATTGAACTCGGGTCAGCCATGTGCAAAGCAAGTGCCTTACTGTTGCTCCAGCCATAACTTTACAATGTTGATGTACATGTTCTTTGTGCGTTTAATGTAGCATAGGCTCTGGTATCAAGCAATTGTTTCTACCTCTATATTTATAGAGGTGGATCTTGGAGAATATAAATGCCATGAGTATACAAACTCATTTTTTTGTACATTATATCTTTCTACTGAAAAACTAAAGTCAAATTTCAAAAGATAAATTTAAATCATATTGTGAAATAAGAGTTAAAGATTAGAGAAAGATGATTATGATAAGATTTTGACTTTGCATTATATGTTAGAGTTTACCTATAATATGTGTGATCATTTTGAAATTTCATTGGAGACTAAAGTTGGCAGTTGCATGTTGCATGCAAACCAGATTTTTGCAAGCACACTCAGGCAAGAGGCAACTATTTTTGTTGCTTGAAGCAGAAAAGGAGTTAGAAAACAGCGTGCTGTAGAACATTGTGACTTCTTTTCCTTTTTAACTTAACTACATTCATTGATTTAATTATTTTTGGTTTGGAACCACATTCGCTGATACTGGGAGTTACTTCCAGCTCTATTTTGAGACTGCTTCAGCAAACCATGATGCTAAGGATCAGCCTATTGAGTTCCCTTCAGCTCCTGCTTTCCCTTCTCTCACCCGCCCCCCCCCCTTTTTTTTTTGGTTTGTCTTTGGTATTTTAGTTTTATGGACCATGTCCAATGGTGCTCAGAATTTACACCTGCCTCTGTGCTCAGGGGTCACCCTGGTAGTGTCTGGGGGTGCCATATACAGTGCTGGGGATTTGAACCAGCATCTGCGGAATACAAGGCAAGCACCAGGACTAACTTGCCTCAGCTCCTCTACTCTTGCACAAAAGCGGGAAAATCACTCATCACTTACCCCACTTCTTACAGATACATTTGAGAGATAAAAGTGAATGGCCTTGGAAGCTGATAGGTGTCCTCAGGGTTTTATTATCCCTTATGCTTGCCCTAGACTTAGGTAAAGGGCTTTAGAAAACCTTTAATTTATTAGAACCTGCAGCCTTCGTTCCCCCGTAGGGCTGGATGGCAGCCTCAGACATCTTGTCCAATTTATTTTTAAGAGCACATTATTTATGCATTGGTTTTTCCATATCATCCTCACCGACAAAAATAAATGATGTTTTAGGCAAGGGGAGGGAGAGGAGGATGATAAAAGGTATTGCTTAGAGAGTCTTGTAACAACAACAAAAACACCTCATTGTTTGAGGCATCCTAAGATTTTTTTTAAATCTTGAGTTTAATAAATAATGCACTGTTAATTTAATGATATGGTTAAAATTCTCCTGTTCTCCACTCCCCCCCCCCTTTTCCTGCTCCCTGGCCGCTGCTTTGCTCACCTGTGTTTGTTTTGCTTTCCTTGCAGAGACCCTCCTTGATGACTTCCTGCTCACGTACACCGTCTTCATGACAACTGACGACTTGTGCCAAGCACTGCTGAGGCAATATCCTTCATTACCTTCAGGATGCGGCATCGGCTTCCCTGAGACAGATGTCTCACGTTAGGAATTAACTGCCTCTCCTAATTTACTCAACCCTGTGGTAGAGCGTGGATAGGTTAAATATTAATGCATTGACATCCAAGGGGGGAAATGAAATAAGACAAAGACTAGAATGGACGGTTGAGGAGTGGGGAGTGTGTGGGGGAGGTGAACATGACTGACTGGAAATGACATGCTCTTGTACTCACATTTTCTATTTGGGGGTGGGTGGGAGGTGAATTGTTTTGTTTTCTTCAATCCGGTACCTTCAGACTTTTGAAATCTGGAGGTAAATTCAACCTAGGGTAAAACTAGGGTTGGGGGCCAGAGAGAGAATAAATACAGAGGTTAAGGTATTGTCTTGCAGGCAGTCGATCCCAGTTTGATTCCTAATTCCAATACTGCATGTGGCATCCCCGGCACTTATAGGATATACCTAAAGCAATCTGACCTCTGGTCACCCCTGAGCAAATAGCCAGAAGTAAACCCTGATCATTGCTGGGTGTGGCCCCCAAACCAAACAAAAAAGCTGGAGTTAAGAAATTGAATACAATGGCAATAGTGAACTTTTAAAATTGTGTTCATGAGTGCCAGGCCATTTATGTAGGAAATAAACATATGAGTGTGATTCTGTTTCTGGGCAAGTGTCCTGGTGGAGCAAGCTGTTCCCCCACGGAGGAGTTCTGAACTCCAGTTCTTCAACCTGTGGTCCAGGGACCAGTTCCGGGCTGCCAAAAATTTCCCACCAATCATAGAGCAGCTGTCTGCAGTGCATGTAGCAGCTAAGCAGCAAGAAATGTCACACTGGCTAAAACTTCGTAGTTTTTTAACATTGATTTAATAAATAAAATACCACCCATGTTGGTTTTTGGTTCTGACTACCCATCAGCCAGTCTGCAAAGTATTTCTCCTCTTTTCCCCATTCTCTGGTGTAAAAAGGTCAAAGAGCATTGGTTAGAGCCTTGTCACATACTCTCCTTCCAAAGATAGATATGATTAGGTTAATAATCAGCTGAGCAAGCGTTTTGATTTATCCTCTAAGAGATGTGACATAGAAGCCTTGAAAAAACAAAAATCTAAGTAAATTTATATTCTTGCCTCATAGTGCCTAAGAAAACTGCTTCAAAAATTGCCTGCTAACCATGATTTTATGCCACCACACTAAAGATTCTGTTTAGCACACGTGAAAACTTTTAGGAAGGTGGACTTCTACTTTATATACCTAAGTTTTATTCAGCCTTAATAATAATGGCCTAGGTTATACCCTTTTCCCATTAAGTAATTATTACTTTTCTTCCCCCACTTAATAGCATGTTTCCTGCTTAAATGAATACTTTAAAATTCCATAGTTGGCATAATTAAACATGAAACAAGAAATAATGAATTACCTTTAGTACTTTACTATGCTTTATGGACAAACAAAGCTACAGAGATTTGAAAATCTTTTAGAAACACTTTGTAAACATTATTAGTTAATTTTGGATCTGGAAAATTTCCAGAATGTTTCTTCCATGGTTTCCAAGTTGTATTGTTATGAAGAAATTTAGCAATAATTACAAGGCTTTTAGTTTCTCTTTTTAAAATATGTCTTCTTTTTTGAGCTAATTTCTTATACATTTTAATGCCAGCATATTTCTGAAAGGATTATCCATTTTAAAAAATGTATTTTAATAGCAAATTAGGTGCCTTCACACTGTTGTTTTTTAAATGATCCTAATGTTAGTTGTGGTTATCATTGAATAATGCTTTCTTCATAGGATTTGATTTAAAAAATGTTTGAAACAGGGATACTCCTGTTTTATGCGAAAGCATGACTCCTGGCAGTGTTCAGGGAACCCTATGTGGTGCTGGGGGATTTAAGCAGAATGCAAGACAAGCACCGTAAGTCCTGTACTGTCCCTCTGGTCCTGAGTATATTGCCTTTTATGTTATTTTCCTATGATTTTAATAGCAGTTAATACTTAATCATTGTATACTAATTGGGAGATGACTTTAAGTATAATAAAAATAATTTGTGCACCCTAAATCTCATTACCTTGAGACACCATTAAGACTTAGTGTATTTATTTCCAGATAATGAAAGCATTAGTGTAAGTAAACATTGTTGATAGAAATGGATTGTTCTAATGTTGTTGTGTTTTTGGTTTTTTTTTACTCGCTTTTCTATTCATACTCAGTATTGTGCGTGTTCTGTCAGTAAATCTACTATTGACCACCCCCATTCTTGTGGTTACCCACTAAATGTATATGTATATGTAATAGTCTGGATAACCACTCTCTATGGTTAAAGAAATTTAGTTTGTTCCTATTTTTTTTATTGCAGTAACAATGAAAATTAACTGTCTTTTGTGTTTGCACATTTTACTAATTCTCTTTTCAAACAAATTCTTAGGGCCGAGTATTGAATCGTACCACAAATTATGCTCCAGAAATCCATCTATTCTTGTTTGAGGCTACTTTTTGTTTGGTTTGATTTGGTTTGGGGGCCAGACCCAGTGGTGCTCAGAAGAGAAAACTTCTGTCCCTAAGCGTAGGGGTCAGTGTTTGGGAGTCCTTTTACAGTGCTAGAGATTGAATCTGGGATCCTGGTGTGCAAAGTATATGCTCGGACCTTTGAGGTATCACTCAGACGCCATCATTTGATGAGCCACTTTAGAAGCAACTGGTTTTACATGAGTGTTAAGTATTCTGAGGATCAAAGAGTATCTGCCTTAGTTCTGATTTAACTTCAGTGGAAACAGTGTTCACTTCTGTAATGAAGCCAAATGGAACCATCCTTGAAAATTGTGGGCCAGCTGGTATTTCTCTGAGGCGTCATTAACCTGTGCTGCTTACAGAACTATGTCCACAGCCCTCAGTAACGCTAGTCGAACCTTCATCTTCATGACTTGCAGCCAAGTGTGTGCAGGTTGTTATCTGGGTCTACTTCTGCTCTTTTGAGTAACTATCTTTTGGTTTCCCTACACTTATTTTTTGGTTCCTACATCCTTAAATAATTGTAAATTCTTTGGAAACTTTGCTTTGGCATATTTTGTGGATACGAGTCAATGTATCTCTTCCTATTTTTAAATTTTTAAGTACGGTATTTTTTTTTCTTAACCTTTCTTACTTATTCTGCTAAGAAGTATCAAGGCAAAGAAGAAAACTCAGATGTCCCTTGTCGGAAACGCAAGGTCTTACATCTCGTTTCCCAGTGGATTGCTCTGTATAAGGACTGGTTACATGAAGATGAGCATTCAAAAATGTTTTTAAAGGTAATATAATACTTACATTTTCAATCCCAGTGATTGCATCTTTGTTCCATTATGAATTTGAAACACTCATTTGTAGTTTGCAATCATTCAGCCTTTCTGTAATACTTGAGTTGTGATTCAAACTATAAATTTATTTTTATTTCTGAGACCTGATTATCCATACATAAATTTTTTTATTTTAAGTGATTTTCTACTAAAACTGAAAATCACAATCACTAATTTAAAGTTGATTTACATTTTGATTGCAAATAAAATCAATTTAAAATGAAATATATTGTGGAACTTGGCTGTTATTTAATATGTTGAGATTATATGTTTTAGCTAGTTTTATAGACGCAATTTTTATAACAAAAGTTACAGCGTCTATATGTACATTGTGAAACTTTTTCTTAGAGAAATTTAAAATTACTTTGAGAATTTTAATCCATAATAATTTGTAAAATAGATACTAACTTAGATTTAATTTGAAATAGATAAACTGATGTATTCTTTCTAATTATTGTCTTAACCCAGAAGATTCTCTGGAAATAACTTGTAGGTAGATGAATTTCTTTAGTCATCAAAGCCATCTTAGCAGTACAGATTAACACAGAAAAAGGATAGAATGTAATTCAAGAAAGGAAGAGCTTCTATTTCAGAAAAGGCAATTGTCTAAACTAATTCTGCCTTTGATGAAGGAAACCACTTTGAATTCAAAATTAAGATGTCATTTAGATATCCAATTAAAAGCTGGTTTAAACAGCACTTTGGGTAAACTAATGTTATTTTTAATACAACTGGGTAATTTAATTGATTTTTATCCTCCCAAATGCTTATATGAGTCTTATGTTCTTAAATAGAGAATCGGCTCAGATATCTCAAATAGCCAAATAGGGATCCCCTGAGTTACCTACTAGCTCTTTCTCCCCCAAATGCTGTAAGAAAGCCAGTTCCTGTTTAGTTGAACCCCAAAGCGGAACCCCACTCAGGATCTCTCATTCATATCTGGGTGCCTCTCAATTTTCCTGGTAGGATGACCATTGTAGGTATTATCTTTAAGAAAAAGTGGGCATTACCCCAACTCAGCTGCCATTTTCCTTTTATCCTCAGACGATATACAGGAATGTACTGGATGATGTATACGAATATCCAATACTTGAAAAAGAATTAAAAGAGTTTCAAAAGATACTTGGAATGCATCGTCGTCAGTAAGTGTTAATTTTTATTTTTTGTATTACAGTTAATGAAAGAAACAAGAAAGAAGACAAAATTTGGGGTATCTTACAAATAGTTTATTTTGGACATTTTGAATGCAAATATTCAAATTGGAAACTCATAGCTATCTCTGGGAAACTCATAGCAATTTCTGAGGGAATAGCAAAGAAATTTTTACAAGTAGGTCCCAGTAAGTCATGGAACATTTCTAAAGCTTGGTTTTATGGATTTCCTGAGGTTTATCAACTTAAAAAGATTAAAGAAAACCATTTGCTCAATGACTTTTGGCATCTCTAAGTTTCCCTCAGGCATCTATCATTCGTTTTTCTAGTTGCCAATACTTTGCGACTTAGTGATTTACACTGACTCTCCTTTGGTAAATGAAAACATCAAGTCATTACTCAGATATAACTGCAAAGTTAGTCTTAAGGGAAAAATTGTTCCTTGATTTACAGTGTGGTTTCAACTTAGTAAACATGAAATACGTCTGTTGTCAAGTTGTAGAAAACTTCCACCATGGTTTCAGCAGTCACCAATGCACTTCTCATAGACAGTGTTAATTCAGGTCTTTCAAATTAGTAAAGAAAGATCTATGACAAATTCAATGTCCCTATATATTCATTTTAGGGAGCAAACAAATCATGTATAAGCCTTAGTCCTCAGTCCTGGAAATCACACATTTAGAAATTCAGCACTTAGTGCCTTGAGAGATGGCCCAGTGAACTGAAGCTCATGCTTTGCATGTAGGTGGCCTGGGATTGTGATCCCCAGCACTTCATGGTTCCCCTAGGTACCTCCAAAAGTGGCAGCCCCTCCCCAACTCCCACCCTCCAAAAGAAAGTAAGTTGCAAGTAAGAACATAAGGTGTGTTAGACATGAGTGCTGTGGATTTGGGACGTTTACTTTTTTTTTTTTTAATTTTTATTAGTGAGACACCATGAGGTACAGTTGTAGACTTACAAATTTTTGTGTTTGGGTTTCAATTATACAATGATCAAATACCCATCCCTCCACCAGTGCCCATTTCCCACCACTACGGATCCCAGTATCCCTCCCACCCCCCATTCCCCCATTCCACCCTGCCTCTGTGGCAGGGCATTCCCTTTTGTTCTCTCTCTCCTTTTGGGTGTTGTGGTTTGCAAAAGAGGCGTTGAGTGGCAATCATGTTTGGTCTATAGTGTACTTTCAGCATGCTTCTCCCATCCTGGGAGGATGGGGAGGTTTACTTTATTTAACAGAATTTGCACTATAGTAAGTTTCCATAACCTAAAATTACAATGAAAATATGAACAAATGAATGAAACTAAAAAGAAAAAGGGCAACATTTTTTTGTTTTGATTATTTTTGTATCAATATAATCCTCCACATAGAAGTGGCTGTCAGCCATAAGACAGGTCTGTTGGAATTGAGGAATATAAACTCATGGTTTAAACCATCAATATACATTTGATACAGAAGCTCCCCTAAAATGGTAAATAAAATATTAAATATAAATGTTAAAATGGGCTGGAGCGATAGCACAGCAGTAGGGCATTTGCCTTACAAGCGGCCAACACAGCTGACCCGAGTTCGATTCCTCCGCCCCTCTTGGAAAGCCCGGCAAGCTACCGAGAGTATCTCACCCGCACGGCAGAGCCTGGCAAACTCCCCATGACGTATTCGATATGCCAAACACAGTAACAACAAGTCTCATGATGGAGACATTACTGGGCCCGCTCGAACAAATCGATGAACAATGGGAGGACCGTGACCGTGACCGTATTAAAATATTTAATATTAAAATAAGACTGATGTAGAGGTGTGATTCCTGATTCTGACATAAAATTATGACATCTCTTTAGACATGAGCCCAGGAATTGAGTTAGTGCCATGCATTTTTCTCTAGCTGCAGTGTGCTGATGAAGGACAATGTGTTTTTTATCTGAGAACCTGACTGAGAACTTTGACTTCAAGTTTTGCCTAACACACGTGAAGCTGGCCACCGTGCTGGACCACGTTTCACCCAGATGCACTTGGCAACAGGAGTCTAGAGCATAAGCAGAGATGAGTCCCAGTGTCCCCTTCACCATCCCCTGTAGTAGCACTGTAGCACTGTCCTCCCGTTGTTCATCGATTTGCTCAAGCGGGCTCAGTAGCGTCTCCATCGTGAGACTTTGTTGTTTCTGTGTTTGGCATATTGAATACGTCACGGGGAGCTTGCCAGGCTTTGCCGTGCGGGCAAGATACTCTCGGTAGCTTGCCGGGCTCTTTGAGAGGGGCAGAGGAATAGAACTCGAGTCAGCCGTGTTGGCTGCATGTAAGGTAAACGCACTACCGCTGTGCTATCGCTCCAGCCCATCCGCTGTAGTAACATCCTGAAAAAGATGCCCCTGAAAAAGATGGCTGATTTTGTAGCTATCAGAATAACAATAGCTCATCCATAATCTCTCTCAATAGAATGAGAAGACTTGTGAGCTTCTGTTTTATCACTTGTGAGAAAAATAGGAGTTATCTGGACTGAAAAACTGAAGTTCTTTCCTTGCTGCTCACTTTCCTTTAGGGGGAAAGGCTAGACACGCCTGTAGAAGAGCAGCTGTTTTGCTGGGTCTCTTGAAACTTAGAGCCCAATGTCAAGGCTGCCATACAGAGTAAATGAATGAACACTGTGTTTGTCCTATTGAAAAGCACAAACCTCCGCCCGGTGCCTGAAAATTAGTTACAGTGACAGTAACTGCATTATTCTGGGCTGGTGATAAAGACTAACTTCTTGCCCTTTTCCTTTCAGCACCGTAGATGAATATTCACCACAGAAAAAGGTAAGGCATGACTGTTCTGTGTCTGAAATGGGCTGATCCAGTTTGGAGACCTTGTCTTGCCACTCGTGGCATTACTTCAGCATTAAAACAAATACCACCTCCAGCCCCAACGGCTGGGCCAATCTAGGATGCTCAGGGGGGAGGGGGGGTGCAGTTGGTCTGCCCCTGCCTACTCACTGCAACCTCCCTGAACTCGTGCAAAACCAACTCCAGGCTGTGCCCCTGACTATGTCATTCTACATGTGTTTGCAGCACATTTTGGAATCTCAGACTTTCCTTCATCTCCTCAGAGCAATGTTAATTTGAATTTCAAAACATTGATGCAAAAAAAAAAAAAGAAAAGAGAGAGGACATCTAGGCAAGAAATCTTTACTGAAAGAATTAAGCAAGTTTTAATGATTTTTTTTTTTGCTCCCCAGTGGTTAGGTGGGTCTTTAAAAAAAATGTAGAGAATAGGCATAGAAATCTCAAGTAGCCAGTGAGGGATCTCTTAAGTGTGCAACATGCAGAAACGGATGATCGCGTATGTTCAAAAGAATGAATGTGTTTTTATTCAACTAGAGGGAAGAAATGCCAAATTAGATATCAGGCACAAATGTCAATGAATGCCGATATATCAGATGGGTAATCATAATGAAAAAGTCCGGCAAGCCACCGAGAGTATCTTGCCCACACGGCAAAGCCTGGCAAGATACTCGTGATATATTCTGTATGCCAAACACAGTAATAACAAGTTGAAGGAGACATTACTGGGCCCGCTCAAGCAAATCAATGAACGACAGGAGGACAAGAGCTACAGTGCTTTCCTTCTGCATGTCATTCTAGGTGTACAGAGAAGAGATTGCTTGGGCAATGGAGCACATATGCAAAGCCCAGAGTTCCATCCCTTGTACTATGCACCCTCATCCCAGCCACTGCTGGGAGTAGTAGACCCTACTGAAAAAAATTTTTTCCTTTGAAAAATATAAATGAGGGGGCTGGAGCATTAGCACAGCACGCACTGACCTGGGTTCGGTTCTCAGCATCCCATATGACCCCCTGAGTACTTCCAGGATTAATTCCTGAGTTCCTGTATGCAGATCCAGGAGTAACCCCTGTGCATTGCTGGGTGTGACCTAAAAAAAGCAATTATATATATATATATATATAATTATATATATATATATATAATTATATATATATAATTCGGGCTGGAGTGATAGTACAGTGGGTAGGGCGTTTGCTTTGCATGTGGCCAACCCGAGTTTGATCCCTGGCATCCCACGTGGTCCCCTGAGCCACCACCAGGAATGATTTCTGAATATAGAGCCAGGAGTAAGCCCTGAGTATCATGGTGTATGGCTTCAATACAAAAACAAATAAGAATATCATTCAGCTACAGCAGAAGTATGAAACTATCTCAAGGTTACTTTCTCCCAAAGCAAGCTTGAAATTTAAGCTGGGGAAATGATGTCTTTCTCAGAAGAGTCTATGGCGGCATGGCATAGCCAGAGATTAAAACTCATGCAGTATTCTCCAGTGTATTTGGGAAACACTATAGAGGAGCTTTTTTGCTTACTACTGGCCTTGGCACAAATATGTCCTATTGTTCAGACTCCCTCCCCCACCATCACATGCACTAACTGAGGCAACTCCCAGTTTATTCCTCTAAGATTAGATGGGTGGGTTTCGAATGAAAAGTTGGCTAGCTCCTTTGGAACATGTTGTAAACAGCGGCAGCGTTTCCAAAGGGCAGAAGTATATTCATTCATTGTTCTCCCTCTCCCTTCTCACAGAATAAAGCCCTTTTCCACCAATTCAGTCTTAAGGAGAACTGGCTCCAGCTTCGCGGAACTGTGACTGAGACGGAGGAAAGTGAGTATGCAGGAGGTTGGGGGTGGGTGGAGGAGCAGTTAATGCCCCCCTTCTCCCAGTAACACATTACCCACCTTTAACCAATTCCAGCTGTTGTCGCCACCCTTCTCACATCAAATAGGATGGTTTTCCTTTTGCTTGCTTTCAACTTGGTAGTTTTCTTGCTGATCTCATAATGTCCAAGGGACGAAGGACATTTTTACTTGGGGACAAAAGGGAAGACTCTCCCAAACCTTCCCTTCTCCCTCATCTAGTCCTTCTCCTCCCTTGCTTGACAGTCTCTGGCTGTTGACAGTCTAGAAGGGGCTGTTTCTAAAAGGGGCCAAAGAGAAAGCTCAATGGATTGGTGTGTGCTGGAGGCCTGGCTTCAATCCCGGTACTGTATGGTCCCCAAGCACTGCCAAGTGTGACCCCCAAAACAGAAAAGAAATAAAGTAAAAGGAGAGAGAAATAAAGAAAGAGAAAGAAGGGAAGGAAGGAAGAAAGGCCACTGACGCCAACATGCAGGCGTGCAGAGGTTTGGATGAGTCTCCCAGAGATATCTGTAGCACTGTTCCCATTGTTCTTCGATTTTCTTGAGCGGGCACCAGTAATGTCTCCATTGTGAGGCTTGTTGTTACTGTGTTTTGCATATCAAATATGTCACGAAGAGCTTGCCAGGCTTTGCTGTGCAGGCAAGATATTCTCGGTAGCTTGACGGGCTCTTCAAGAGGGATGGAGGAATCGAACCCAGGTCTGCCACGTGCAAGACAAACACCCTACCCTCTGTGCTATGGCTCCAGCCCAAGATACAGAACAGGAAATCTTGGGAAGAATAACAACAGGAAGGACACGCAGCAAGTTTCTCCCAGACAAGGCTGTTCTGGGCAGAGCCACATGACTCCTTGTACTCAAGCCATGCTCCAGTGAGAAAGAGGCCAAGTCACACCCTGAAGATGACTGCCCAGTCGGTACAAGGGGAAACACCTTACTAGCATCCAGAAGGCAGTGACGTCCTATTCTACGTCAATACTTTATAACGGGACAAAGTAGTTTCCAACGGTTTGCCTGAAGGTTGAGTCAAATGCAGGGGCAGGAAGCAGGGGGTAGGCATTAATGGGAGCATGCTGCTGAGACGTGCCTCCCACTAGCTTTTCTCTAGGTCCTGGAATTCTAAGTGTGAGCCTTCACTATTTGCTCAACCTGTTGGACACTTAAAGAGCTTGTCACTGGTTGCTGCTTCTCCACTGTATTTGCATATAATATGGCTTTGCAGTGGCTCTCCGTGGCATATGTATAGTTGTACCAAATGAAAAAGCCAATAAAATTCTCTTACGTCCTAATTCCTCAGTTGCTGACCTTCCCTATCCATTTGTTTTAGAATTTAATTATATTCTTTTTCCAGGCTGAGTTTCAAAGAGTCTTAACTATTTCAGGACCTCTACCCTCTTTTCGGTTTGTGAGTTTTTTAATCTGTAAACTTTCCTCACATTTATTTGCTTGTAGAACAGATCTTTGCGTCTCTTTTTAAAAAATCACATTTTTTTCTGGGGCTGGAGAGATAGTGCATAGGGTAAGGCATTTACCCACCTGCACAAAGGAAAACCAGGTCCCCGGAACCACATATGGTCCCCAGACCCCCAACAGGAGTGATCGCTGAGCTCAGAGCCAGGATCACCTGAGCATCACCCCATGTGGCTGAAAAAGAAAAAAAAAATTTTTATCCTATGGCAGAGGGGTAAAAGTATTTTTTTCTCTTTTAAATCTGTTACTAACATATAAAACAACTATTTGTTAAATGCTATGGCTTTTGTGACACCCAAAACAACATTTGCTTTGAAATTTCTATATGTATACTCATAGTTTGTCTTTTTCCTATGAAAAAATTCTTGGTTTTGTTTTTGTGGTGTTTTCAGATATATAAAATCTCTCTAATTGCTCCATTCCCTCCTTTTTCTGCAACACAGAAAAGTATCTATATAAATTACTATCCTTGTGCCTTTTCTAAAGAAGCTAACCTTACATATCTTCTGAATAGCTGATAAAAGAAGCAGTTATATGCCCATTATCTCCATTGCTATTAAAGCCACTCTGCTATTAAATAAAAGAGAAAATTTTCTCCTGGACAATTCATGCTGATAGTGATAATGCCACAGTTATAATTATTAGTTCCTCCAACAATAGAAATGCAACAAGTCTCACAGTGGGGATGTTCTGGGCCCGCTCGAGCAAAAAAAAAAAAATAGAAATGTGAAATTTGGAAACCAAATATCATTTTGATCAGGGAATCATTCTTAAATGAGCAAGAAGACTGAGCACAAAAAATCAGGGCAAATGACAAATATTTTGACAAACTTACTAGAAAATTTTCACCACAAAATACAGAATTCTTGACTGGATCACAGTGATGGTCCAGAAGAGGAGTATAAAATAAACATTCATGACTTTCATGTTTTAATATAGTATTTTGGAAGATGATGATGTACCTTTAAGAAGGGGCTCAGAATTACAGTTCCTGACCACAGATCCATGATCTTCTGTTCTGATCATCAGAACCTGAACCAGTGGGGCCTGACTGATAGTATACCGGGTAGGGCACTTGCCTTGCATGAGGCTGATGTGAATTTAGACCTTGCCATCCCATATGTTACTTTGAGCACCACCAGGAGTGATCCCTGAGTGCATAGCCAGGAGAAATCTGAGCACTGTCAGGTGTGGCCTCCTGCCTATTCGCCCTCCCCCCCCCACCTCCCTCCAACCCACGCCAAAAAATAGAATCATTAACCAGAGACCCAAGTGCTTTTTATGTGCAATTACCAGCTTTACGATGTCTGTCTCATATGTGTACAAGTACACAGCGATATGCCTCATCCTTAGGTACCAAGCACACATAAACCTGACTGTGTTTTATACTTAAGAGAGCACAAAGATGATCTCATTGATTTCAACATCCCTCAACCTTGTACCTGCAGCTCTGTTGACTAGCCATCATTTTTGCTTTGTACAGTTTTTTGCCACGTGTATATAACGGAGCACTCCTATGTCAGTGTGAAGGCAAAAGTTTCCAGCACAGCCCAAGAGATCCTGAAAATTGTAGCAGAAAAGATTCAGCATGCGGAAGAGGATGTGGCTCTGGTGGCCGTCACTTTTTCTGGGGGTAAGTTCTTGTCTGTCCTTGACTGCTAACCTCACTGGATCTTCTCTAGAGGAAGAGAGTTAATGTTTTCACTGCTCACCCCTCCTGGCCCAAAATTGGGTGACTAGAGGCACAATAAGATGCTGCCTACCAGAGGTGTTTCCATGGCAACTCTTGGGTACTGCTGGGTACTGAATTTTCTCCCCAAGAACTGAATCGAGGGGCATGCCAGTGTTTCGAAATAAAGTGTTAAGAGCTTCATATTTTGTACTCTAGATAAGCCTTCTATTTTCATATTGAAATTAACTTGAGAAATTGCTAAAGGATGAAATTACTTTGGGGAATGGAAAAGAAAGAGAGCCTCAAACTAGTCACAGCGCTTGGATTTAACACCGGGCGCCTGCCTGTCGCTAGAAAATGCTAACTGCAAAGAAAGCCAAAAGCTTGTGGGCAGTTTCTTCTTCAGGTGGACAGGGAAGAGGGCCCACCCTGGTTAGAGCTTCTCCTTTGGTGGGTCTTCCTTATCCTCCGAGAAGGGTTTATTGTCTGCGCTGAATCAGATCACGGAGATTACACGATGACACTATTGATCCCCGTGACCTAAGCCAACCCCGTCCTCATCGCTGGAGCCTATGGGATCTCAGTGTCCCTGGCCTCCTTTTTTGGCTTACAGTCTTTATTTAATATCTCATTAACCCTGGGGAAGAAAAAAAATACAAAGAAAGCAACTTAGCGTCAGCAGTTGAAAAATGGGAGTAGTGTGTGCGCTAATGGGGCGGAGAGGGGGAGGGGAGCAGAGGAGAGCACTGCATTACCCTTTGTTGTCAGGCTGGAGAATGTCAGTGTATGGCGAAGGGTTAGTAACCTGGGGCAGGATAATGCTTCTATTGCTTTGTTGCACAGGCAGGCAGCATGGCTCTCCAGCGAGCTGATTACCTCTGCATTCGAGCTGCCCAGTGAACAAAGGGCAAAAACTTAAGCAGTCTGTGGACTGTGCCTATTTTAATAGGGGAGTAGTGGAATGTGGCATGGTGCAGGGAATCCAGATGGATGCCATGTATTAACCACAGTTAATAGTGGACAACAGTCTTAAGTGACTTGCAACAAGGTTAAACTTTATTTAGTTTTTGTTTAGGGAGCACGCCCAGTAGTTTTCAAGGTTTCCTCCTGACTTTGGGCTCAGGGATCACTTCTGAAAAGCTCAGGGATCACTCTTGGAGGTGCTTAGCGGACTATATGGGGTTCCATGGACTGAACCCAGATCAGCCCTACCCACTGTAGAGTATCAAAGACAGCTGCCGTGGTAAGAGGGAGTCTGGAATTCCCCAGGGAAGGCTCTGGAGAAGGAGGCTTTACACTGACCTAGGTTACACAGTGAGACTCACTCCTCTGGGTATTCAGCCCAGGGCCACATGTACCGCTTCAAATTAACACGGAGCTCCTTCACTGTGCGTGTCTCTGTCATGGCTGGGAAATACCATTTCTGCACTCTGTGATATGACATTCATTGGGTCAGCAATGCCATTCTCATACATACAGACTTGTTGCTGATTGTCAGCGGGAATATCAGCTTATCTCTTCAGTCATCACAGAGATTCAGAAATGGTATTACATCTTCCATCAAGTAGTGGTTTTGCTAGAACCTTTCTGGAGTCAAAGAGATAGTACAGGGGTTAAGACACATGACTTGTATGCAGCCAACCCCAGCTTTTATCCTTGGCACCACATGGTCCACTGAGCACCAGAGAGAGCCACCCTGGAGTACAGAGCTGGGAATAGACCCAAACTCTGCCAAGTGTAGCCCAAACCACACCCACCAACCACTTTCTGCCTATAACCTAATACCCTGTCCCAACAAAAGTCATTCTATGAAGGAGAGAGCTAGCGTCTAATGCATTCCTGTTCTAGTTATAGTTTTCAATCACTGATGTTTTAAATACTGTCTCCGGATGAAAAGACCATGAGCTCTACTGTTCTTTTCGTTTTTTTTTTTCTCAGAAAAAGTTTCCAAGACGTTAGTGTAGATTTTCTGGATTGTTTTTAATGGAACGGTACTGACATTCTTTTACATTTCAGTAGATTTCTAAGTGTTTTTGATTCCAGGTAGGCTTGTGTATGTGGCAATAGCAACTCACCCAGTTATTCGAGCTTAAAATTCTGTCAGCTCTGATCTTTTGCAGAATAGTGACACGTGAAAAGAAAAATGTTTCTTAGCAAATGAAAAAAATAAATGAATGTCATGACATTTTGTTCTGTATTAGATGTGTGTAACGGCTGGCATAAATTCGGGTCGAAGGCATCTACAGGCACAGGGCGGGTTGCCAGAAATCATAGCTAAACAAAGAGGAAAAAGCAGAAGAACATTTCAGCCTGGTGTGGGGGGCCATTTAGCATGAGCCTGACATGACAGAACTATTGATCTTTCTAATGCTGGGTTGTAAGGAATATATTAGATTATCATTTGTGTTTTCTGTATTGAGTAGAAATGTTCAAAACAAAATTTAGCGTTTGAATTGATTAAGTTATCTAGGAAAGGCTATATGGAATATTGCATTTCCCAGTAATGCAAGATTAGGAAGGGCCGCCCTAGGAGGAGCTTATTATGTTGCAATGTAATAAACCTGAGTGTTGCTTTGCTTGATTCCCCTTTGATTCTGAGGTTAGCAAGAGGACATCTTCCTGTGAAGAAAGCTATTGTATAAAAGTGCCTCATCTCCGTAGGGAAGTGGTTGAAGGGTGAGGATAGGTAGTGAAGGAAAAGAAGAATATTTGGAAAAACATAAAGCTTTACTAGCAGTCAGGAAATATAAAATAAACAGAATCTATTTTTGGTTTGAGTAGAATAGCAAAGTTACCAAAGTAATGACCAATGTGTACATTTTGTTCTTTTTTTTTTTTTTTAGGAATTTATAAATTTATTTTCTAAAAAAAAAACACCAAAATTGGGAACAATTTAGCATTTTATATAAAAAAACTTTTTAAGATATACCCTTTGACCTGTTAACTCCACTACTGGAAAGCTGTGTTAGAAAAGTCATCTAAAAGCAGTGAAAGATTAATGCACAAGGATGTTGACTGCAACAATAGATATTCTAGCTGCTGTAATAATAGACCCCATTTATCAAGCCCCTATTACGTGCCAGGCCCTGTGCTAGTGCTTAGTATATATCTTGCCATCTAATTGATATGACAAAAAAAAATTGGAAAGCATTAAATGTAAAATAGAGGAAAGAGTAAATGATGGTGTAATGGACTGTTATATAACCAATTAAATGACACATATAAATAATTTTGACAAGTGGGTCAGTGTTTATACTAATAAACCCAATATAAAACTGCACATAGAATAATTGCAGGTATATGTAATCATTATACTTATAAATGTATATGTATAAGTGATGATTACAATGATATGTATTTGTGTGTGGATACACAGATTTACATCAAGATCAGGATAAATATATATATGTATATATATATACCCAAATATTGCAAATCCTACTCTTGCTGGTGGAGGACATGGATTTTATGAAATGGGCAGGAGAGAGGTGGCAGCCTTGAGAAGGGCATCTACTGCTTCCCTCCCTACTCGCCCATCACCCAGGAAAGTGCCTTGGGAAACCCAAGACTGATGAGCGTCAGTTCTGAGCGCGCTACACATAGACTTTAGGTCTGATGAGCCCCATGAAGCAGATGTCAAACCTCACTTGGGTTCCATTTGTTCTGCCTGTTGTGGGAAATACTTTCTCAGGGACCTGAGGAACCCAGGCTGAAACTGCTCTTTGCAGAAAAAGAAAGTCAGTCTTAAATCTTACCTAGGCTTTCCAGATCTGTTGCCTTCACTCACAGAATCGCATCTCAGGAGGACATGAATAGTGAAGCACAAGAAGTTTATTTTGGGAAATGAGAGAGAGAGAGAGAGAGGGAGAGGGAGAGGGAGAGGGAGGAAGAGAAAGAGAGGGAAGGAGGAAGAGAAACAGAGAGAGACAGAGACAGAGAGAGCTTCTCCAGAGTGGAAAGAGCGAAGTGCACATCTCAAGCAGGGATGTGCAGGCCTTTTCCCCAGAATGGAGAAAAGTAAGGAAGTCTTCATCTCAGACAGATGTGAGCCAAAGGAACCGTAGGGTGAAATAAGGAAATACACTTCTCAGGGAGAGATATATATATATGCAAATGCACACCTTGCTCTCTGCTAAGTTAGTTCATATACAGTTTTCCCACCCTGCCCCCACAGTCCTTTGCTGGTGTGATTGCCAAGGGGAGATGGAGCATGGTCTCTTGGGGTTTTCTTAGGTGACCTTTGTTCCATTGATGGGACCTCTCTTCCCAGAACATAAAATCTTTAGGTTTCCTGGTCTTAGATGGATCCTGTGTCTCAAAGGCATAGGATCAAATGCCTTTGGGCTGGTTTAGGTTCCAGACAGTGTTTTTTCTAATACTCTTTACTAGGCCCCCTATCTCTACCAACAACTGTGATCATTGTGGTTCTTGGTAAATGTGAAACTCACACATTTCTTTCTGAGTTCAGAAAGAAAATTAAATGATATATATATATATATATATAATTAAATGACATATATAAATAATTTTGGAAGAAACTGAACACTGTTCAGTTTTTTCTAAACTGTGTTCTGTTTCTTCTAAACCATTCTGTGTTCTAAGGGTGAGTTAATATTATAAAACATAGTCCCAAGACAACCCTAGTTTGTGGAAAATGATGAGTGATACTTGATGTCATTATATGCAGTCACATAGAGCAGAGCGGAATTAAATCTTGTTTATGTTCAATTTATTTTTAAATATTTTTGTTTGGTAAGTTTCACTCTTAACAGTAAGAATCTTCTGCTATGCTTGTTTTTCTAATTGCTTTTTTTGTTATTCTTGTTAAATAAAGAAAAGCATGAACTTCAGCCAAATGACTTGGCCATCTCCAAATCTCTTGAAGGATCTGCACGGATATATCTCTATCGGAAAGACTTGGCTGACACTTTGGTAAGGACCATTAACCTTGGACTGAAAAACACACACACACACACACACACACACACACACACAAGCACACACACACACACTGTAGCACTGTCCTGTCCTCCCATTGTTCATTGATTTGCTCGAGCGGGCCCAGTAATGTCTCCATTGTGAGACTTGTTCTTACTGTGTTTGGCATATAGAATACATCACAGGTGGCTTGCGGGCGAGATACTCTTGGTAGCTTGCCAGGCTCTCTGAGAGGGGCAGAGAAATCGAACCCGGGTCGGCCGGGTTGACCATGTGCAAGGTAAACACCCTACCCACTGGGCTCTCGCTCCAGCCCACTGACACTGACACTGACACTTATATGCATAAATAAATGCATATAAGGCAAAGCATATATTTGAATGTCTGTAATGTATGTTAGAAAAAATATATTGAACTCTGCCCTCCTCTAGCCAACAGCAGACACCTGTCAAACAAAACTGCTTTTGCAATTCAACTAAGAGAGGCCCCACTTGAGGAAGAATAAACCTTCCGAAGTCAAATTCTCCTTTCTTTTTTTTTCTTTTTGGGTCACACCCAGCAATACACAGGGGTTACTCCTGGCTCTGCACTCAAGAATTACTCCTAGAGGTGCTCAGGGGACCATATGGGATGCTGGGAATCAAACCCGTGTTGGCCGCGTGCAAGGCAAATGCCCTACTCGCTGTGCTATTGCTTCGACCCCTCTCCTTCTTTCTGAGCTCTGAAATAAGGGCTTGAAACTAAGTGACCCCTCTCCATGCAGCCCTCTATGTTTTTGGGTTTTTTTTTTTTTAATGTGTGAGTCTGTGGAGTTCAGGCTGCGCATGCCCCAGCTGGAGTGAGAGGAAGCTTTGTGTTAGGCCAGTGGGTCCTCTTGGAGTGCACCCCCCTTCCCCTGCTCATGCACTTCTCTCGTGTCCACCCAGCAACTGAGGGAAGGCAGACCCCCAGCAGTGTCCTGATACTATGAATACTATAGATACTATGAATCTTGTTTCCAGTGCCAGTGGCCTGTGAAGTTTTCACCCCTGTTTGACATACCACCTAAAATGTCCCTGCTGGGGGTCGCTGAGACAGTGTAGTAGGCAGAGCACTTGCCTTGCATGTGTGATCCCTGGCACTACTTAGAGTTCCCGTAGCACCTCCAGGAGTGATCTTTGAGCACAAAGCCAGGAACAAGCCCAGAGCACAGCTTGGTGTAGACCCAAAACAACAAAACTTCCCTCCTTGGAATCATACCTTTAGATGTTTTCCCTCTGAAAGATTCCAGCTGCGGGGCTGGAGCAATAGCACAGCAGGTAGGGTGTTTGCCTTGCACGCAGCCAACCCAGGTTCTATTCCCAGCATCCCATATGGTCCCCCAAGCACCGCCAGGAGTGATTCCTGAGTGCAGAGCCAGGAGTAACCCCTGAGCATTGGCTGGGTGTGACCCAAAAAGCAAAAAAAAAAAAAAAAAAAAAAGGAAGATTCCAGCTGAGTAGAGCTCCTGCCCCTCATGAAAGCCTAGGGTCCATCCCCAGCACTGTAATGAAAGGCAAAAGGGAGAAGACGCTTACCTCAGCTGGAATGGGATATTGTAGGGAAAGACTGACACGTGAAGCTGGTCGTGCCACTGTCTGTGCAGGAGATTAGTCTGTCTTCTTGAATAGGAACTAAGAATTGGGCAGAGAAGTCTGTAGTACTCATTGGAGGTGAAAGAGTGCAGGCGTAAATAATCCGAGGCCCGTGTCAAGGGGAGCCATTCTATTTAAGAAGAAAGTAAGAAGAGTAAAGAACCAAGTAAAAAAGAAAACTTGATGCTGCAGAGAGAGTACAGTGGGGAGGATGCTGATCTTGTTTGAGACTGACCCAGGATATATCCCTGGTGCTCCCGATGGTCCCCTGGGCCCCACCGATAGTGATCCCTGAGCACAGAGCCAGGAGGAAGCCCTGAACACTCCTCCCCCCAGAAATAACTTGTCTTCAATTGAAAGGCTTTAATCATCCATAATCACCATTATGCTATATCTATGTAAGAAAAAACCCTATTGAACATGCTTTAAGAGGTGTAATTGTGTTCTTAATTTATCAAGGATATGTGACTTTATATTTTCAAAAACTAATAAGGGGTCACGGAGATGATTCAAATGGTAAATTGATACCTAGCACATGTAAGGTGCTGCATTTAGTGCTCCTGGCCCTCGGAGAACCCCCATCTTAAAGCAGCACTGTGTGGCCCCCCCAAAACCCTTGTGCTTCCAGCGTCAAGCAAGGGACTGACCCATCAGGCCTGGACTGAGAGCTTCTTGTTGGTTTTGGTTTGGTTTGGGGCCACAGCCAGTGTTGCTTAGGGGATACCCCGGCTTGCTGTTAGGGGGCGGGGGTGGCTTCTGGAAGTGCCAGAGGTCTAGGGGAATATCTGAGGCTTGAATCCAGGCCTCCAGTGGCCAACAAGCACTCGGCCTGTTGAGTTATATCCTCCAGCTCCTCCCAGGATAATTATTGCAGGCTTTTCCACCCCCCACCCCCACTGCCAGAGGTGGTCCCGATTAAAGAACAACTAATCAGAAGGATGGAAAAACATAAGTTTTGTTTTTTGCTTTTTTTTTCTTTTTGGGTCACACCCAGCGTTGCTCAGGGGTTACTCCTGGCTCTGCACTCAGGAATCACTCCTGGCGGTGCTTGGGTGACCATACGGGATGCCAGTGATTGATCCCAGGTCAGCTGCATGCAAGGCAAATGCCCTATCCACTGTGCTATCACTCCAGCCCCAGGAAAAGCATAAGTTTTAATAGAACCCTCTTGCAGATTCTGGAATCACTGCGGAACACATCTCAAAATACCTTGGGTTTCTCAGACCCTTTGGACAGGAGCAGCTCCTGCTCTCAGCCCCATGTGAGCAGGGTCGTGGAGCGCCTTCGCCAAACTCTATTAACCTTCAGAGAAAGGATCTCATCCGTCATACTGCAGCTTTTTTCTTCCAGGCTTTCTGTACTAGTTTTGTTTTTACTAGAAAGCCCATTAGTAAATGTAAATAAAACTTCCGGAATGCAAGTAACTTATTTCACAGTTTGAATACTGAGAATAATACGTGGAATCTGAAACGTTCCCTTCATCCTTGCACGTCATTTATTTTCACAAAGTCTCATTCTCGCCTCCACCCCTCTCCCAAGCCATTCTACTATCTTAAAACATCAAAAACTGTTCAAGTCCAACTGCTCAACTGGAGGGTTTATGTTTATTTTCATTAGAAAATATCATCTCTTTTGGAAAGATGCCAAATACTTATTTGCTTTTTGTGCTCAGGGAACTACTCCCAGCTTGGAGCTCGGGGGCCATTTCCCACAGTATTCTGGGGCCCATGTGATATGGGGAGATTGAACCTGGGCTCACTCATGAAAAGCATGTGCTCTAGCTCTTTGAACTAACTTCCTGGCCCTTGTTGATGATTTTTTTTTTATGATTTTAGTAGTGACAATAGACTTAAAAGTCACGGTGGCATTTAATAATCTCATGCTAGATTTTTCAGGCAGTATCATTACCAAATGGATACTTAGTTGTGGGAAAAGTGATTGAAATATAAAATAGCCATTGAGAAGGTGATATAAATGGAGTGATTTTTCTGAAAATTTATTGCCTTTTTTTTTTGCTTTCATGGCATTTTAATAAAAGTTGTAAATGTGTGTGTGGGATGAGACCGGATAAGCATATTCCCTGTAAAAGCCATGTCTGTCTTTATTGAAGCGCACCATGACATTTCTTTTGTTTGTTTTTACACTAACCCCGCTGGCACATTAATTCTTACCAGAAGCCAAAGTGATTTCAGGGCTTTTGCTTTCATTATGCTGTCTGTTGGGGCAGTGTTTTATAATTAGATTTGAGTGTGTGTGTGTGTGTGTGTGTGTGTGTGTGTGTGTGTGTGTGTAGGGGAAGGCAGGCTAACTCAGTGAAGTGTCATTGATCACAGTCTACTGTTTCCAAGACTGTTTCCTAAATTGGCTGCAACTCACTGAAGGTGAACAGACCAGGGAAAATATTAAGTGCACTCAGACAAGATTACTTGTCTGATCCGAGCTTTCGCTGCCTTCCTCTGCCAGCCAGAAATTGGGGAAATTTCTGAAGATCCTTTTGCTTCTGTCGCTTTAGAACCCGTTTGCAGAAAATGAGGAATCACAGCAAAGGTCAATGAGGATTTTGGGGATGAACACTTGGGATCTTGCTCTGGAATTAATGAATTTTGATTGGAGTCTTTTCAATTCAATTCACGAGGTAAGTACAGAGTGAAAAGATAAATGCTACTATTGTTTAGCTGTGGATTCTTGTTCAGTAATATTTATGTGTATGGCTGGAGTTTTAAAAGACCTATCATCTGTTAATATATGTATCTCTAAAACCAAATATTTATTATATATGTGTATATATATATATACACACACATATTTAGGATACTATGTTTCAGTATATTAAAAGATTGACCCAAACCTAGAAAAATCAGACTCTTTGTACTCTGCCTACAACCATATATGGTGTAATTCAGCATAAATATGCTATATTTTTGTATGTGTAAATACCTATGAATATGAAGATACATTATGACTATCATGAAGTTTTACTGATGAGTCATTTTGTATATGAAACCTTTGATAATATTGCCACTCTTTCCATAAAGTTATATTAATTACCCAAGAAACATTTGTGTTTGTATATACACATGCATATTATTTCACTAATTTTAGGCTATGCAGCAAAACTTGAAGTACCTTCTAGAAATGTTTGAGATCTATTTCAAAATGTCTGCATCCATCATATTCTTCCCTAAGAATAATTCAGAGCATTTATAAAACAATAAATTGGGTGGGTGGGGGGGAGTGCTACCAACAATTTATAAATTTAGCTATTGGGAAGACTTCCAGGAATCAGGAGGTGAAAAATGTGACAGTTCTGTGCGACCATATGTCACATTTGCTTTTTCATGCAGTGACACTTTTCATTATGGAGCTGCCTTTCCTTCTGAAGATGAAACTCATGCCCATTTAGGACTCTAGTGCTTTACTTTCACCTGGGGATTGTCTTTTAAATGTGTTCATATTTTCTTGTAAAACAAACAAACAAAAAAGTCCCAACATTATGATCTAAATTTGAGCACATAGTGAAACTCACTCAAACTAAGTGACTTGTGACTTTGGAAATGTGACAGAGCGATGCGTTTCCCTGCCTCTGTGGTTGAGGAATGTGGATTGCATCTGTATTGCCCAAGCATGCACAAATGCAAGCCCCTCCCTCCCTTTAAAACCCTGCTCTTCCTTGCATTGTGTGCACTTGGCCCAGATTGGCACTAACTAGTCTTACTTGGACAAATAAATTGTGACCTTCTTCTTCCTGCTCTTTCTCTATGATTTGTCAGTCCCTTCTCAGTTCTTAAAGAGTTCCCAAGATCCACAGCAGCAGCAACATCTGGGAGGGGGGGGGGTTAGAAAATTCTGTTTTTCCCCTCCTCGCCACAGACCCCCTACGTCAGAAACTCTAGGACTAGGTCCCAGGAAAATGTTCTTCTGGAAGTTCTTGGAACCCTGGTCTAGGGTCTGGCTCTTCAGACTGTGGGTCACAATCCTATATAGGGTCAGGTAACTTTTAAAAAATGTATTTTAAAATACAGTTCTTCATGATTTGTCAGTAAATGTTTGATTGGTAGTGCTATTTTATATACCTATATATCTTTATGCTCAGGGTTGTTTTAAAGATTTCTTAGATGAGGGACTGGAGAGATGGCACAGTAGATAGGAAGTTTGCCATGCATGCAGCCAACCCAGATTTAATCCCTGAGAGCAGAGACAGGAGGAATCCCTGAGCATCACCAGGTATGGTGTCAAAACAAAACAAAAATTTCGTGGGTGGAAAAGTGGCTAGTGAAAAAAGTGGTACGAAGCCCTAGTTGAGAGAAATAACCTATGAGAGTCAAATGCGCATACTTAGAGATCCTAGGGATTACCACTTGATACTCCAGTGGAACAAATTAGGGGAGATTTGGATCTGAATCGAGCTGTGATTTTAATTTAGAATGTCCTGATCTTTAGTTTCCAAGTTTACTCTTTTATAAGGATGCTAAGTAAGTGCTCTTTACTCAGGCATCTCTAGAACCAAATTGTTTTGAACGGGGAAGATTGACATTCTGTGCCTGTAACCTACTCTGTCCTGATAGCGGCTGCCTGAGAGAAAAGTTCATTTTAAAAATGAACTGCATCATTTTGTGTCCACTTAATTTTGGGTATGCTGAGAATAACCAGTCGTCTGTATCCGTTTTCTTTCAGCAAGAGTTGATCTACTTCACCTTCAGCAGGCAGGGAAGTGGGCAGCACACGGTGAACCTCAGCCTTCTGCTCCAGCGCTGCAATGAAGTGCAGCTCTGGGTGGCCACCGAGATTCTCCTCTGTGGCCAGCTGGGCAAGCGGGTGCAGCTGGTGAAGAAATTCATCAAAATCGCAGCTCAGTAAGTGCCTGGAATCCCCTTGTTGCTCCTCAAGAGGAAATGTTTTCTGCCTCAGGTGGGGATGAAAACACTAATGCTTAGTTCAGTGAACGAACGGTTGGAAAGGTCTGTGGTCTTAGCCGGAGACAGAGTACAGGCTTTGAGTGTCTGAGGCCCTGGGTTTGAGCCCAGGGAACCTCAAAAGGGAAATAAGAAAAAGAAAGGAAAGATTTCATCTTGAATATATATGTCTTTGGACTTGAAGTGTTTCTATTATAAAGTAAATGTCAAAATGCCAGCGCAAAATGTTCTACTCTGTGCTGTACCTTGAGTACACAGGCAAGGCAGCTGAGCTCTAGCATGGCCAGGGAAGGGGGCAGAGGGGAGGATTATTGCAAATCGATGCTGGTCCCTTGAGGCTCATGGTATAAATTTGCAGACTCACGACCTCACCCCCCCCCACTCCACCCCCCCCACCCCATTCCATTTTGCAGTCACTCCAAAGAATTCTCTTTCCCATTCCCCCCATCCTCCATGGCTGAACAAGTTCTTCTGGCTTGGCCTAGAGCTATCACTTTCACCCAGCAAAGTGCTGTCCTTCTTCAAGATACCATTTATTACTTCCCCCTTCCTGAAACCATGCTGACTTACAAATTCACCCCCACACCCCCCCCAACACCTTCTTTGTCTCTTTCTTGCTCTTACTCTCATTACACACATATAATGCATTGTTTACTGTTTTGTAAACCCCCCCCCCTTTTTTTGCATTTATTAAACTTAGATATTTAGAGGCTGGAGAGATAGTGGGTGAGGCATTTGCCCTGCATGCAGCTGACTCCTGTTTGGTCCACAGTACCACAGTTAGTCCCCAGAACCCCAGCAGGAATGATCCCTAAGCACAAAGCCATGAATGAGTAAGCCCTGCACAATACTGGGAGTGACCAGAAAATAAACCAAAAAGCAAAACATATTTGTATAGGGTTCCTTCACTGGTCTGTATTGGAATCCAGAGATTGGTACCATTTTTACTGGGTGTTGGTTTTTGGGGGCCACACCCAGTGGTGCTCAGGGCTTACCCTGGTCTGTGCTCAGGAATAATTCCTGCCAGTGCCCAGGGGACCATATGGGATGCTGGGGATGAAATCTGGATCAACCACATTCGAAGCAAATGTACCATCTCTGCAGTGCCATCACTCCAGCCCTTCCCTGCCATGCCACTGTCGCCAGTTCATTCCCCAGCACCCCATATGGGGTGAGCTCAGGGGGCTGAGCCCTGCCAGAGGTAATCAATGAGCACTGCTGCATGAGTTAATAAACTCCCCAAACAAGACTAATTAATATATTGATTTCATTACTTGGGAATGACACAAGTAGCCTTGAGGGTCAAATGATACCTTACAACACAGTTCCCAGTTTAAGATTCTCAGTCCTCAGGAAAGTGGATTTAGAGATGCATCAGCTCCACATAGCTCAGCACTCTTGCTTTGTTTCCTTGTATCCTTCTCTGTTCCATACAGTTAAATTCCTTATCATCACAGTGGTGGGAATAACCAAGGGAAAAGGTAATTTCCATGATCAGCAAGTGTGTGCCGAGCCTCAGGCATTCATTTGCATATTCATTTCCTTTTCCCCTCCCCTCCCCCACCCCTGTGGATCCAGTGGATTTTATTTCCTTGCTCAGACAAAGGAGTCCTTGCTGAACTGGAACGTTTCGTGTCCAATGACTGAGTGTCAGTCTTTCCCTGGAATGAATGATCCTTGGCCACAACCGAGTCGAGACCAGAACAGTGGCTAATATTTGTATTGAATCCATTTGTCTTTTGGAGAACGTGTGTCTATATAAAGTTCCTTTTTCTTGTTTGAATTCAGATGTTATAGATAAACCAGGAAAATGGTGTAGTGGGAACTTAAACATAAAAAGATGAAATTATATGGAAGATGCCCAGATTTCAAATGATCAGAAAAATAATACCGAATAAATAGAAGAAACCTGTTATATTGATTGCTAAAAACCATGTCCCCCTCCATCCTTTTTTTTTTTTGGAGAGGCAGGGGGAGGATGAGCCATACCAGCTTTGTTCAGGGCTTACTCTTAGCTCTGTGCTTGGGCATCACTCCTGGCAGGGTTCTGGGAACCATATGCAGTTTAAAACTGAGTTAGCCCTGAGCCAGGCAAGCATCTTACCCACTATACTATCTCTCTGGCCCTGCTGGAGTGTTATAAAGCTTTGGGTGAGGATGGGGAGAGACTCCACAATCTACAGGGAAACTGAAACTGAAAAACTCGAGATACAGAGCTGCAGGGGTGCTGTACCAAACTGGACATTGGTAGAGAGGCCAGGAGCCTGGTGATGCTCGGGAAGGAAGCTGCATGAGCCCATGTTGTGTATTAGTTCGCCCACTACGCCCACTATTCAGTCCTTTCATGTTTAATTACCAAGTTAACGTCGCTTCATTCAAAGTGCTGTCACATTAGAAGTTGTTTTCTAATGTGCTGCAGAAAAGGGGGTGTCTGGGGTTCCCAGGCTGTTCTGTCTGACCCAGAAGCCCAAGCTCCTCACTGCACCCCACAGCTGACTTTGATCATTGGTGGAATTTTGACCTGTGAAGTGGAAGGGTGTGATGGGGGTTAGACAACATTAGTCTTCCGGAGTATTAATCTTCCGGAGTGTGTGGAACTGAATATGATGTGTGGAACTGAACGTGCTCTTACTTTGCATTTGATTTTCTTTTATCTTTAAATGAAAATGCCTGACAGGAAACTGTATGCCCTATTTTAGTATGGACAAAGGACAGTAAGTATTTCCTGCTATAGCTGGGAAAGTGTGTCTAAATTAACCAGAAGCAGCGACTTAGTTCTGAGAAGTGAGGAAGGTTTGTCTGTCTAAAAGCTAAGTCTTGATTCAGTGACTTCTTAACCCACTGAGTCAGAGGCTGCAGGGCTCTGAGGAGAGAGTGGTGTATGCCACACAGAACAGAAAATCCCCTGAACTGACTTGGTAAATGCAGATAGAAGAGATTAAAGAGGAGGTGTCTTTGAAATGTGCAGGGGGCGGGGAGCACAGATCTTTTCCTAAAGGTGAGGAGGAGATGAAGCCTTTGGAGTCGTGTTCCTGCTTAGGAACACAGGAGGGCAGACCCTAGGGGTGGTCTGGGGCTGAACTCTGTGGCCTGGGAGTGTCTTTTCAGCTTCATCTTTTGTGAATCATCTCTTGAAAGGACGACGCCTTCTGCTCTCTTTTATCCCTCAGCTGCAAAGCCCAGCGGAACCTGAATTCCTTCTTTGCTATTGTGATGGGTCTCAATACTGCTTCTGTCAGCCGACTGTCACAGACCTGGGAGGTGAGCCTGGGGGTTCCCCAGAGAGGGGAGGGGGCGGCTGGGGGGGGAGAATGAAAATCAAAGAGCAACATTCCAGCAAATGTTCTTTATTTAAGATATCTGCGTTTAAATGGTGTCAATGAGCTAAGTACTGGGGGGAATGAATGAGGGGAATATGTAAAACTTCATTCTGTCAAGTTAGCAGAGACTGTTTTGATCAAATGGTCTTAAATGCTTCTGGAACTTGGATAAAAGAAATACAAGCTGTGGGGCTGGAGAGACAGTACAGTGGGTGTGTGTGGTGCTTGTTTCACATTTGGCTGATCTGGGTTCAATCCCCAGGCCCCACCCCCACCATGGTTTCTTCAGTCCCCACCAAGAATGATCCCAGAGCTCAGAACAAGGACTAAGCCCTGTGCATAGCTAGGGGTGAGTAAACACCCCCCCACCCCCAAAAAATGTGCTTCCTTGCCAGCAACTCTGAAGGAATGCCTGATGGTTACCTGAGGGTCAGAGTCAAAATCCTCTGAAAAGGCAATTCCAGTTCCAAAGAAAGGACATGAAAAGCCACTCCCCACCCCGTGTACAAAAAACAAGCATCTTTGCACCCACTTTCAAAGATGAAAAAAGATGGCCAATAAAATGCTGGCACTGATCAGGGTAGGAGGAAAACAAATTGGCTGGGGGAGAGTGGAATGTGAGTCAAAACTGGAAAGAAGCTTTGATTTGGAAAACCACAAAACACTGAGGGGGTGGGAGCTGCTGCTGTAGGAGCCTGCAGAGAGAGCGGCCCTTCAGGAAGAGCAGATTGAGGACTCCACCAAGTGTGCTCAGCATAGGAGCAAGTGAAGGGACACATTCTGCCTTGGGGTCATTGAGACGAGGCCCAAGAGAAGCCCAGAGCAGCATAACCTTGGAAGTTAGGTGTGAAGTCACTTAGTGTTGAGGATGTGGGGGCCAGGGTGGGCATCCCAGCCGGGCAAGGTGCTCACAGGCCCTCTGGACCCCTGAGGGGCAATATAGAAAGAGAAGATTTGAGGAACTAGAACAAAGGCCAGCAAACCTTTTGGGTAAAGAGTCCCATGATATCTCTTTTCAGGTCATTAAAGTTCAGTGGTCTCTGTTCAAGTGACAACTCTGGCACTGTAAAGCAAGATCAGCATATATATATATATATTTTATATGTGTATATATATATATATATAGACACGTTAGTGTTTCAATAAAACTATATTTACAAAAGCAAGCACTAGGCCACATTTGGCCCACTGCCAACACTATAGGGATATAGCAGTTTGGTTTTACATGTTCGCATTTAAATTTGAGGTGATTTGTATGGACTGTCCAACACACCGAGATACATAGCACAGAACAATTGGAGTCAGTTGCAGATGTGACATTTTATCTTTTTTAATTCACGTTTCCCAGTACCTGTGTATCTGTGTGACAGTATTGTTTTTTATTTTTTATTTTAATTTTTTTATTGAATCACAATGGGATAGAGCATTACAAAATTGTTCGTGATCGCATTTCGGTCATATAGTGCTCCAACACCCATCCCTCCACCAGTGTAATTTCCCAGCACCAGTGTGTCCCCAGTTTCCCTCCCACCCCTCAGTATTATTTTTTAAAACAGATTATACTGATTATTTGCTCTGAGAAACGGGGTCCAGATTCAAAATGATCAATCAAAAACATTAATCTCTAAAAATAATTTAATTATTATAGGGGTTGCCTCCTTATTTTCATTTGCTTTGGGTGGGGGAGGAGGGAAATCCCCCAGTTTCTTCTAGAACTTTGCCATTAGTATTCATAGATGTAATTTGTGAAGCACCAGCCATGAACTGTGTCATTTCATAAATTCTCTACTAATGGACAAGAGTTGTGACAGGGACTCTCTGTGTCCGACCACAGTTCCCAGGTTTTTCAGTAATTTCAAGATTGGAAATAAGCAATAAGGATGTTCAGATGCATAGTTAGCAAAGTTTATTGGAAAATAGAAGACAAAGAAACTTCCCAGCTGGGGAGGACCTTAGCATAGGACTAAATTGAGTTTTTATTTTGAGTTCACTTTGTGGTATTTTTTGTTTTTAATTTTTTTGTTGTTTTTTAAGACCCAGAAAACCTGAGTCTTAGTGTTGTCAAGTGACAAGAATGTTACACAGAATGTGAGGATTTGACATAGCAATCTGGCTAGTTTAAGGTTTTTTCGGTTATCTATTTAATGTTTGCCTAGGTACTGCCCATTGTCTCTTCATTTCCTGTGAGCCTAAGGTCTGGGGTAGAATCTATGATCCTAGGAAATTCTTCACTTCTCATTCTCAAAAAACCCAGGAACTGGAATAAATGTTAAAAGTGTGCAGCTAAAATGGAGCTGCTCGCAGCAGCTGTCACAGGGAAACTGAGGTTCCTCTTTCACTGAGCCTCAGAGAGGTTTGATGGGTCATACCCAGCCAATCAGATGGAAGAGGCCAGACCCATAATTCAGATTTCCATCACTGCTTATAGTGTCACCATGGAAGGCATCCGTTTTTCTTCACATGACCACGTTAAAGGCAGACTGGAAAAATGCCAAGCCCTTCTTCCTGAGACCTGAACTTTTATCTGGGGGATGACACGTGTGTCTGTCCTCCCTCATCACCCATGGCGCCTTATGGCAGGGGTTGATCTTGGTTCTTCAGCAATGTTTACGCATTCAGGCGCAGCATCACCACTTAGCATGTTTCAGGGGCTCTCTCTCTCTCTCATTAGCCCTCTGCTGTGAAACATAATCATATCATTTCCACAAAATCACATGTCAGCGGACATTATTTCTCACTCAGCAAGACTGTTTACAAAGGTGGGAGCATTCATCAAAGGTAGGCTCTGGAACTGAAACCCAAGCATTTATGAAGTTATCCTCACCAGGGTGTGGCCTGTCTAATCAGATACATTCCTAAACCATGTGTCGATTATTGATTTTAAGCTGTTTTCAGCAACATTCCCAAGGAAGGTGCCTTAATGAAGAGATGATGAAAGTTGTGTGATGTGAAGCAATCAAGGCAGAACCCGATGACAGAAAGATTTATTTTTTGAAATATGACTCATGTGTGACCACCAGTCAGTGGAGACTCATCTTGGTGCCCCTCAGAGTCACTGAGCATTTCCATTTTGTCTTCTGTTTGCTTTTAGAAAATCCCTGGGAAGTTTAAGAAACTTTTCTCTGAACTTGAAAGTCTAACGGTAAGTAGCTGATGTCACAGGGGACTCAGCAATTGCATTGCTGGCGTTGAATTTCTCTCTCTCTGTGCTCTGTTCACTTGCATGTGAAAGTAGTTTTGCTTCCCAGTTGGGGAAGGAAGTTGACAGTTATTGCGTCTTCCTCTCCCCAGGAAAAGTTTGTGAGAATGATCCTTTTAGTGTGATTTTCAGAAGGCAGATTTTTAAGAGTACTCTATTTCACTGCCTGTGAAATGTTCATTCATTCACTGCATAAATGAATGTATAAGGGGTATCAACTGCATTAGTCTTTCTCCTTTTCCTTCCTTTTTTACTCTTTCTTTATTTTAGATGCAGAACACATCCTTTCTTTTCAGTGCACAATTAAATGGTGTTCTCTTGTTTCCTCTGTATTGTCTGTGCATTATGAGGGTAATGTTCTGGGCTTTGTGTCTAACAAAAGGCTTTGGGGTTACCTCCTGATAGAAATTATGCAGAGAAAACTGTATTAAAGTGCCTATTTGAGGGAAATAATAGCATAATCAAAAGGTGTCTCTCTCTTTTGCAGTCATTTCCCTTTATCGTAAACCAATAACTTGACTTTCATTCATTGCCTCCATTTCCTGCCCTAATTTAGGGAGTTTATTCTCCTAGGAAACCTTTATCTACTTTGTTCTGAACAAGAACCTCTATCTATCTAAATCATGTTCAAATTGTATAGCAAAAGTGGATTTAGAATTGTTTCTGTGGCACATTGATTTTTCTTTCTCTCTGTGTATTGTAATCTGCTTGGTTCCTTCTGCAGGACCCTTCCCTGAATCACAAAGCCTACAGAGATGCATTCAAAAAGATGAAGCCACCAAAAATCCCTTTCATGCCCTTATTGCTGAAAGGTAATTATTTTCTATCTTTTGTGATATGTAATTCCATTTTCCAGAAATATATCAACTCAAACGATGGAGGGACTAAAGAAAGGACTCTCCATACACTTCCTGAAAGTGGTCTTTGACATACCGATCTAACGATATTTGCCTACAATTGCTTTTAGAAAATCTAAATAGTTTGGGGGACCTCAAAAATGCTTCATTGTCTTTGAGTACCCACCAGAGCATGGTTCTGTGGCTTCCGAAATGTGGCCTTAGAAACCCCTGGGTATCTGTCTCACTCTGCTTCTAAGCAGAGACTTACTTTCTTTGTGTCATATCCTCTTAGTTCCACCAAGAATAAGACTGGCACCAAGAAACTAAATGTGACTGGTTTGGAATGTACTTCTTTCCAGGAGGGGGATCCAGCTGGGATAGTATTTTCAGCTACCCTGGCAGTTGGCCCACTGACCTCTCTCCTGTGGAGCACCAAGTAATTGCTTCTGCAGCATGTTTGTGAGATGATCAGGGAGATGTCAGTGGTCTCTTTAAATGGAATGGGGTTCATGAAAAGGAAGTTCTCTTTAATCAGTCAAGAGTCCCGAGACTCAGTCCCAACCACATGCTTCCAGGGAAAAGGAATTTGGGCATGTGTCTTGGCCAAATTTTAATTTCTTTCAAGGGTTCTTGCAGGAATACACATTCATCCTTCCTGACTCATCAGTGAGATACTAAAAACAAGTTGCCCAAGAATTGTTCTGTGGGCTATGGATTGGCCTGGCTCTACTGGATTGACTATGAATTGGCTTGACTATGGATCTCCCCTCCTCCCTCAAGGCCCCCATTGCCAGCTTCCCCTCACAATAGCAATAAAACTGACATTCTATCTGCCATTTTCCTTAAGAGCAAACAGTTTGGAGAATTATGAGTTGCTGTACCTCTCTGCAACTGTTTGTTTAGCTTATATCTACAGTATACTCAGAATCTCTGTGAAACCAGAGTCTATCAGGACTACTGAAAGACACACAGAATGTTTCATTCAGGCAGAAAAGGAGTTGCCAAAATGTAAATGGATACAATGAGAGGTTATAATGCCAAAATAGAGATTTAAATGTTCACTTGATCCTTCATATTTAATTACCTCTAAGGTAAGTTTATTTGGGAATATGACTTTAGTTTGCAAAATAAAACATCTTCAACTAGAGAGAATAGCAGGTGGGAAGTAATTCTTAGAATAATTTAAACACAAGTAGGAAAATTAGGAAATGTGGACAGATTTGGGGAAATAATTGATTTTAGGGAGAAAAAAAATGGGAGACACTTTTTTAAAGTAAAGAAAACTTTGTTGGCAATGTTTTTTTAACTGAGTTTGTTATGAGCAGAACTTTATTAGTGTTTTTCCCCAAAATATATTTCATGCAGTCAAGTGTCTCACACTTACATTTTAACTTGGATGCAATTTTCTGCTCTACTGAGTTTATCTAGACCTCCTTGTTGGCAGCAAAACAAATTTCCTTTTTTTCTTCTGAAAGTACATTTACTCATTTGCTCTAGTTAATTAAACCATTTTTCTTTCTTTTTTTTTCATTAAAAGCCTTCTTGAGTTTAAGCACTTAATATTTCCTTGTTTTAATTTTTGTCAGTATAAAAATAAATATCATTTGTACTCTACCACATTTAAAGTTAGCATTTTTGTCTGGACTAGTTTGCAAAGAAAAATAGGATAAAAAATTTTTTAACCTGTCATTGCCCAAGATAAGACATTATGGAAACATTTCCTTCTTAGATTTTTGGGGTTTTTTTAATAACTGCAAAATTATCTTAAAAGTTGTAATTAACTAAAGTAAGTGACTTTTGAATGAAAACTGGTTTCACTTCTTTCTTGCCCCTCCTACTGTGAGTAGCTTTTCAGTTGAGAAATGAGACCCAGTTGAATGTGGGTATTAGAGTGGATGTGGCCTCCCAAGTCTGACTCTTGAAAAGCTACTTGGTTCCTAGTCAACATGCAGAGGATCAAGTCAGCACATAACCTGGGGCTCCTTCAGCCTCTGTTTCCTAGCTGAGTTTCTTAATGCTTTGTTTTGGGGGACAGGGGGTCACAACAGGCTTACTTCTGGCTTTGTATTCAGACATCACACCTGTCATGCTTCAGGGGACCATATACAGTGCTCGGGATCAAACCTCAGCTCGCCACTTGCAGGATTGGTGCTTTCCCCACTGTACTATTGCTCCAGCCCCAAGTTTTATGCTTGCTATACCCCTCTTTATACGTGCACCCCAGTTCAGAAGGGCATGAGTGGAAATCCTAAAGGAGTGTTGGAAGGGTACTGAGCAGAGAGAAAATGTCAAAAGCCACTGAATAGCCTGTCTTATGGGTCTTTTGGAAAAACTTGCCCCTCCCAAGAGAGCAAATAATCAAGAGGCCCTGGATGATAGGTAAACTGAGTCCTCGTGGTCGGTTGTATGTCTAAGAGTGGAGCCTTTAGCTGCAGAATTTCAGGCGGCATTTTTAAAAGGGGGGACTTGAGGTACCCCTTCCTTCCCTTTCACTTTTTGTGTCTTAAACACAGCCCTGCCCTCTGCAACCCCGCAGCAGGGGGTGTTTGGGGTATGTTCAGGTTCCTCCACTGAGCCGCATCTGTCAGGTGCACCCCACACACATAGGACCCGCTGGATGGATGCTGTGAATCTGCCTCACGAGCCCAAACATAAATCCCAGGTCCCAGATTTTTTTAGATTTTTTTCTTTCTTCGCTTCTGGCTATGTGCTCAGGATTCACTCTCAGTGGTACTGGGGATTGAACCCAGGTTGACTGCATGTAAGGCAAGTGCCCTGCCTTCTGAACCATTAGATCCCAGGTTTTGTGCCCATGCCAGTTCCTCGTCTCTCTCACAGTCCTTCATATTCACATGCTGAGCAGCCAACCACACCATACCCACAGTGTCCTAGCCCCTTCTCCAGAGCCTGGATGGCACCTTACAGCCTCCCTTTCTGCCTTTCCCAGGCCACGTGCACCTTCTCCACCTATGCCCCCATTTGCCAGATTAGAGGAGTATCTCCCTTGTGCTGGCCTGACTGTGTCCTGCGGGCTGAGGTCTGGAAACCATGTCAGGGCCAAGGTGACAGGGCTGGGGAGCCACCGAGGAGACACTTGCCCCAGTGTGATCCCATCCCCCAGCAGTGCAAAATAAAACCGAAGTTACAGGGGCCCAGATAGGCTCAGATCAGCAAGTCACTGACTCTAAGGAGCGAGGGGGGGGGCATAGCCTAACTGCCACAGGAGCAGAGGACCACCAGGGTGAGAGGGAAACTGGCTCCTGGGTTTGAATCTTGACTATGAGCCCGTGTGGGTCAGCACTGCTTCCACTGTGAATTGCAGCATCTTCACAACCTTCCCTCCTGGGTTGACCTCAGTACTCTGTGAGGGTTTCAAGGAGTTCATGGCGTGTATGTGGTCACTATTGTCGGCTGCCTCATCCTTGGGAACCAAGAGAGAGGCTGAGCAACCTTGTTGACCAACCCAGGGACATGGACTAAGTGCCCAAGAGAATTTTGGGATTCGAATTCTCAGAGAGTTTGGAGGCACGGAAATTTTTAGATGATGTTTGGTGTAGCCCAGTAACTGGGCCTGCTCGAGCAAATCGATGAACAACGGGAGGACAGTGACAGTGACAGTTTTGTGTAGATGCTGCTTTGTTTGCTGTCCAGAAAGAAGGTCAAAGTGAATTGGGTTAATGACTCTCTAAAAGTCCTGTCACAGAACGAGAGCTTGCAGTTGTCTTCTGAAAGCAGAAACACGAAAGATCGTGAAACAATCAGTTTGTCAGACAATGGTGCAGTTAACTGTGCATTGTTTCCAGCTGGGACCTCAGGGGGATAGCTTTACAAGTCGTGTAGGAAGCTGTGCAGAAGGGCTGCCTCGGGGCAGGCGGGGAGGGACGCTCGCGCCCCCTAGTGAACAGTCCAAGTCCATGCAGCCCCGTGTTAATGGGCAATTCCTGAAATTCCTCGCTCATTATTTTTCTATAGGGACCAGCAAAATCAACATCTTGATTAAATGCAAATGTTTTCCCCTTCTATTTATAGCAGTCTTAAGCTTTTCTTTTCCCTCTTTCTGATCATGTTATTTTAATAAGATATTCCAACTGTGTGTGTGTGTGTGTGTGTGTGTGTGTGTGTGTGTGTGTGCGCGCTCCAGGCTCTATGCAAAACATGTTTTGTTTGCATGCTGTTAAAACTGAGGTGCATTTCATTAGATTCTCCTCAGCCAGGGTTTCCTGGTGCTGCAAACTGTCTGCTCTGAATTATTATCAGTCACCACTCAGAACTACAACTGCTCTTGGCTGTGACTAACTCCCAGATCCCTGGTTTGAAGAAGCACTCTAGTTTATTGCAGCCAGAAGGAGATTTTTTTTTAAAGTGGAATATCTTCAGCCACTTTATTTTGAGAGTTTTAGGGAGCCACCAGTACCACTCCCAACAGTACATGACCTTGCTGGGCCAGCCTGACAATTCAGCAGTCAGGTCCAGTGAACCTGTGAACCTTTGGGGCTACTCCTATGGTGCTGGGGAAGAGTAGGGAGGGACAGGATTGTATTTGGTGCCTCATGCATGCACAGCATGCTCACCACTTCCCTTGTGTCACTTGAAGTGCCAGAAGGCTTGCACAAAGTGTAACTTGTAACTTTCCCTTTCTCTGAAAATGCACCTGCATCTTATTTACTTCATGCCATATTTCACCAGTCATGCATGCTTTCTCACCACGACCCAAAATCTTGCGATTTTCAAGCCTGCTGTTTCCTTGCCCGCTTGGGAGTGCAGGGGTGGGGGTGTGAGGCTATGGGATGGGCTACTTCCGGCTGTCCTCAGGGCTTCTGGCTCTGCACTCAAGAACCCAGGACTGGGCTGGAGCAATAGCACAGCATGTAGGGCATTTGCCTTGCACGTGGCCGACCCGGGTTCGATTCCCAGCATCCCATATGGTCCCCCGAGCACCGTCAGGGGTAATTCCTGAGTGCAGAGCCAGGAGTATCCCCTGTGCATTGCTGGGTGTGACCCATAAAGGAAAAAAAAACGGGACCATATGTGGTGCCAGGGATCGAACCTGTGTCTGCTGCATGCAAAGCAAGTGCCCTATCTGCTGTGCCATCTGAACTTCGATCCTTTACTCATTTTTGTTACCTTGTTAGGATTTGGCCTTGAGAACAAAAATCTAATTTTCAGCATTGAAATCTTAGCATTTTAAACAAACTCTTTGCCAGGGATGATTGAAAAGCAAACATATAAATATTAAAATTCAGTTTTTGCTGGGTATTCAGTGTTTTTTTTTCTTCCTGCTCAGTGTTGTGGCCTAAAAATATAACAGACCAATTAAGTTCTAGAATGGAGTTAGCTGATATCACTGAATATGTGATGAGACGCTGCAGTGCTAATATAGAATGTATACTTGTGTGGATACTGTAATGCCTTCTCCCACAGAATGGGGAGCATGCCCATCTGTTATTGCCATATAGACCCAGACTCAAGTTGCTTTGTGAAATACATGACACAATCCATAATGTTGCAGAAGACTTCCTAAGTTTGAGTTGATCCAGGCCTCTCCAGACCTACCTCATGATCCACCCCTAAAGCTAAGTCCACGTTTTTTTCCTTTTCAGATGTCACGTTTATTCATGAAGGAAATAAAACATTTTTGGATAACCTTGTCAATTTCGAAAAGCTGGTACGTAAACTTTTATCATTTCTCCTTTTCCCACCGGTTAGAAAATCCAAGTTTTTGCTTTTTTCCTGTTCCTGCTCCAGAGAGCAGATGGCTGTCCATTGAATTTCCCAGTTGCTTCCTTGCAGTGGGTAGGGCGTTCGCCTTACAAGCGGCCAACATGGCCGACCCGAGTTCGATTCCTCCGCCCCTCTCGGAGAGCCCGGCAAGCTACCGAGAGTATTCGATATGCCAGACACAGTAACAACAAAGTCTCCAATGGAGACGTTACTGGGCCCGCTCGAGCAAATCGACGATCAACGGGAGGGCCTTTACCTTTTACCTTTACCTTCCTTGCTGTGTGTTGTGGGTGGCCAACGAAACATAGTCCAGGTGAAAATAAGTGTGCCAACACAGTTTGGAAGACCATATAACCATAAGCATTTTTCCCCTTTCCAGTGGAACTTTATTAGACTAACATTACTGAATAATGTCAAAATAGTTCTATTTCTGTTTTGTGTGTGTTTTGGGTTTTGTTAGCTTGTTTTTGGTCACACAGATGATACCTGAGTATCATTACTCCTGGCTCTACACTCAGGAATCACTCCTGGCAGTGCTCGGCAGCCCATATGGGATGCCAGGTATCAACCCGGTTTGGCTGTGTGCAAGGCAAGCTTCCTCCCTGCTAAACTTTCACTCTAGACCCTCTTTTTCTTTTTTATTGGACCAGTAAGAGAACAGCCATGTTCCTATCAGGAGGAGTCACACAGGTGAGGCTCCATGTTAGCACCTCACCCTCTTTCCAAGCACAGGGAAAAGTGCTCCTTCAGGTTTGACCGATTATGCCCCAGCTTGGATGGATGCTGTTCTGTGTGTGGGGTCTTAGGTGAGGAGAAAGACCAACCTGCTGAAAAATGGTTCAGCTTCTGAGCACTGTGGAGAGAGATGCTCCCAGCTCTCATGGGACCACTCAGTGGTCCTCTCTTACAAGTTCTGGAAATGCCTCCTCTGGGATTACTTATGCATTTCCTGGGAGCTTTGTCTGCAATGGGGCTCAGGAGGTTTGGGTACCTCCTGGCAGTTCTCGGCCAACTGAGATGTCTCTTCAGTGCCATGGCCTGAGGCAGCAGTGCTGTGTAATCCCTGCCATGCCAGGGTACCCGAGCCACCCCATAGCACTGGTGCCTTCAGAACTGTCCCTGAGGGTGCTAGAGGCCTGTGGTGCCAGGGTTGAGCCCAGATGGTTGCACCCCAGGCATGCGCCCTAACACTATGTTGCTTTGTTTGGGGCCACATCCAGTAGTGTTCAGGGGCTGCTCTGGGTTCTAGGCTTGGGGGTTGCTTCTGGTGTGATTCGGGGAAATCAGGTAGTGCCTCCTGCATACAGAGCATGTGCCAGCAGGTTGAGCCCTCTACAGCCCTCCTCCAGGCTCCTTCCTAGCTGTGCCTGAAAGATCTGAGGAATAAAATCGCATGTTCTGAAGAGACCCAATGACCTACGCAACCAATAAAACCTCAGAAAAAGGGGCCTGTGAGATAGCACCAAAGACTGGAATGTTTGTTTAGCATTCAGACACCCTGGGTTTCACACCTGACACAGCATGGTACCCTTCATATGGAGACAGGAGTAGCCCCTGAGTTACTGCCACATGTGGCCCCAAAACCAGAAGGAAAACAGAGAGAGGCCCATTGATGACAAAAAAGGATGATTTGGCTGACAGGTGAACTTAATGTCATCGAGCAGACTGTCCTTTGTGGGTAAAGATAACGCCAGTGACCCCTGTCCATAAAACCTGACCTTTCAGTGACCTTTTCAGTCAGGGTCATGGATTTGTGTGAACTCTCGAAAATAGACCTCTTTTCCCTGTGAGACGGAGAGAAGGTTTCTTGAGGCAGGGACCGTTACCAGAGAACAATACAAAGCGATGAGTCCAAATGAGACTCAGCCTCTGGCTTTTGCCAGAATGCCTCCTCATTCTGTCACTTTGTGACTGGGTTGCTACTGTTACAGTCTCCAGGCAGGTTAATGGTTGGGATTCACAGAATGCCTGTAAGAATAGGAGCCTTGGACCTGTATTTTACTTCACCCCTTGGCCAACACTTTTGGTTAAGGAAACCAAGCCAGGCCTAGAGAGATAGGATAGGAGTGAGGCGCTTACCTGAAGTGCAGCTTACCCCAGTTAGAGCCCTGCCACCGCATATGATCTCCTCAGCACTTCAAGGAGTGATCCCTGAACACAGCTAAGCACAGGGAAAAGAAGGACAAGAGGGAAGGGGAAAGAGAGGAAGGGAGAAGTAAGCTCTGGAGAACGCAGGTGCAGACCTGGAGTGAGGTGTGTTGTGCCAAATGAAGTGTCCTCAGCAGACCCCTCGTCTCACGCGATTGGAGCTGGGAAACAGTTGTCCCCTTGCTGGGCTCACCATTGGCTGCCTGTTGTTAGGGGCAAGTGGGTGGTCACCCTCTCTCTCTACTGAAATTGGTTAAGTACATTGTCATTTCCTCTCAGCTAGCTGAAGAAACACATGAATTGAGCGAGAACACAGGCACAGATGGGAGGCAGCCCTGGAGTAGCCCCTCCACCTTTCTCTCACTCCCAACCATGTCTCTGGACTTCCGCTTTTCCCACCCAGCCAACAGACACCTTTCAGTGCAGCTAACCCAGGCCAAGGCTTCATGTAAACCACAGAGACATAAACACAGAGTGTCTAAATTATAGTCCTTTTAGGTAAAAAAAAAAAAACAACTATATGCACCTTAAGCTTTTAGGAAGTTTTAAAAAAATAGCCTGCTTTATATAATAATGTATGTAAATGTATAAATTTCTAAATAAAACATTTTTTTATTTTTAACTTAAATTTTTATTAAATTTTTCACTTAAAAGACAGCCAGAGTCAGAAAGATAGTACAGATATAGTTAAGGTGCAAGATAGTTAAGGCACTTTCCATGCACATGGCCGATACAGGTAAATCCCTGGTGACACATATGGTCCCCCAAACAGTGCCAGGAATTATCCCTGAAGTGCAGAGCCAGGAATAAGTCTGGTGTACAGACAGATGTGGCCTAAAACCAAAAAGATGGCCAGAAGCACACTTATACACACACACACACACACACACACACACACACACACACCCCAGCACTTACTAGTACATCACCTCTAAAGACAGCAGATTTGTGGCATTAGTAAGTCCCTGATCCTTTAGCAGAGACAGTCATGACCCAGCCTTCCTCCTGCTGCCCCTTCTCACATGGACAAGACAGAGTCAAGTTAGATTCCCCCCCCCCCCCCCCTCCGGGAGATCAAAAATCCGTTTAACATCTCACGCAACCATCTGTGATTCTTGGATGCCAAAGAAGGAACCAAACTTCCAAGTAGAGTCAATATCTTCAAGGCTTGTTTCTTAGCAAAGGACGTGGTTTCACTTCGACTAAAGCAGGGTCATCTCTCACAATAATGAGCCAATAGAACCTAAATGAATTAACTTGTGAGAAGCCAATTTCTCGTGATGGATATTAGCCTAAGCCAGCTAGCAGATAATTCAGTGTATTATCTTTATCTAGTGGATACAGACAAACACATTAAGTCAGACGTGGCAGACCCAGAAATGCTTCTCACTGGGGCTGAGAAGAGAATCACTGGTGCTCCATCTATGAAATAATAGAGAAACACATGCTCTCCCCTTTTCCTCTTCTCCCTCAATATTAAGAGCATCACCTTCACCATATATTCCATAGTCCCCCTTCAGAACACCTAAAGAGAAGCAGACCTCCCATTTCACTGCCACACTGAGTCCCAAGCTGCAAAATGGCATGATATAAATCAGTCATATGGGGGCGGGAGCGATAGCACAGCAGGTAGGGCATTTGCCTTGCACAGGGCCAACCCAGGTTCAATTTCCAGCATCCCATATGGTCCCCCTGAGCACTGCTAGGAGTAATTCCTGAGTACAGAGCCAGGAGTAACCCCTGTGCACCACCGGGGGTGACCCAAAAAAGCAAAAAAATAAAGAAATCAGTGAGACACCATGATTTAAAACAGCCAAGGGGCTGGGAACTGGGGTGAATTTGGAGGAAGGAAATTCAAGAGTCCATTCACAGACATGAGTCAGACCTCATTTCCTCCATAAAGGCCACGTGAGCTACCATGCTAATCACTGTCCTCTTTAATTTTCCATAACTGAGTGGAAATACAATAAGAACACAGCTGTATGAACACTTTAATAAGTAGGTCACATTCAAATAGCATCTTCACTGTTCTGCTGGATTGGAGGTAAAATTCTTTTTAACACGAGCAGTGTTCCTTTAGCCATATTTTAGTGAAAGTTTGTAATCTGTGGATGATTCTGGGATGGGGTATGCAGAGCACAAGAGATGATGACCCACTGGGGCAATTTGGAGGAAGTGAGAAAAAAGAATGTTGGGGGACCGGAGAGATAGCACAGAAAGTAAAGCAATTTGCTTTGCTTGTGGGTGACACAACTTCAATCCTCTGTACCATATATAGTCCCTCGATTTCTGCCAGGAGTGATCCCAGAGTGCAGGGCCAGGTGTGGCTCCAAAACAAATAATAAGAAAGTTGATTCTTTAATTTATTTTTTTCTGCTTTTTGGGTCATACCCGGTGATACACAGGGGTTACTCCTGGCTCATGCACTCAGGAATTACTGCTGGCAGTGCTCAGGGGACCATATGGGATGCTGGGAATTGAACCCAGGTCAGCCCCGTGCAAGGCAAATGCCCTACCTGCTGTGCTATTGCTCCAGCCCCAGAAAGTTGATTCTTAAGGTAGGATTCTGTTGCAAGGAACTTGATAAAAAACAGAGTAGTGTATTTATAGAGTCTCTGGAGGCCTAACATGGCAAGAAAATTGCTTGGAGATTATTCTAGGAATCGTATTTGAGGGGCCACAGTAGAGCACTGTCTCGTCCTAAACACCCTTTTTGTGTCATCCTAAACACCCTTAAAAACTCAACATGGTAGAGGCAGGAGACTTGCAGGGATGCCAGCTTTAGGTGCTGGGATTGGCTAACTTTAGAGCATTGCACATTTAGCAAGACTCTTGACTGGAGACCAGAGAGGATGTTCAAGAGAAAGTCTAAGTAGAAGATGGAAGTGCAGGAGAGATTTTATTATAAACAGAAAATGGTCTCTCTGATGATAGCAATGTTTTATTTTGATTGTTTGCTTTGCTTTGTTTGGGGGAGCCACACCCAGTGGTGCTCAGAATTTACTCTTGGCTCTGTACTCAGAGGTCTCGCCTGGAGTGCTCAGGGGTGACCAGAAGGAGTGCCAAGGATCAAATCCAGGTTCGCCAGGGGCAAGGCAAACACCCTACCTGCTGTATTCCCAAGAGAGCGATGTTGTGGAGAGTGTGTCTTTCGTGAATATCATGTTTTCAGTCATCATATTATGATACTTGGGTCTTTGAGTCCACCAGACATCGCGTCCAACAAATACATGGGAGCCTGTGCATGAATTCTGGTGGATGCTGGGCTCACACGGAGTCTCAGGGGTGCTTGATCTGGGGGAGAAGAAAAGATCCACAGCAGTTATGAAGCAAAGTTAGTGACTCATGTGCAAGCAGCAGGTGGGTGGAGCCTCCCTAGTGCAGAAAGCGGCTCAGAAGGGATAGTCTTCCTCCCGAGAGTGATACGTGCCCTGAAGTGAAAGCCAAAAGCCAGCAGGAGCAGGGAGGAGTGGTGCAGGCAGTGGAGTGGGACAGTTAGACACAACACACCTGTGTCCAGGGCCACTGTTCACTGTTTCTGCAGTCAAGAAATAAATAGTTTTGTGATGTGAAATCTCAGTATGATTATTTTTATTTTATTAATTTTTTTACAAAGCTGTTAATGAATGGATTTCAGTGATACAGTATTCCAACACCCATCTCTCCACCAGTGTACATTTCCCAGCACCAGTGTCCACAGGTTCCCTCCCATCACCCTCCACCTCCACCCCTTGTCTGTCTGTCTGTCTCTCTCTATCTCCCTCTGTGTCTCTCTGTCTCTCTCTTTCTCTGTCTCTCTCTCTCTCCTTTTGGGCACTGCGGTTTGCAATAATGATACTGAAAGGTTATCAAGAATATCCCTTTACCTACTTTTAACCCTCAGATCTTATCCAGAGAGGTCATTTCCAGCTACTATTGTCACAGCAGTCCCTTCTCTATCTTACCTACCCTCAACCCCACACACACTTGTGGTTAGTTCCACGCATTGACCAGTCTTCCTAACCAGTTTTCCCTGGATATTCTTCTTCTTCTGTGTGTGTGTGTGTGTGTGTGTGTGTATGTTTCCTATATGATCATTTAAAAATGGGTCTAGAGCCAAGTAGGTTTCTGTTTCCCCCAGCCGTGATCTGCTGGGGGGGGTTTCTGTTTTCCCCAGCCGTGATCTGCTGGGGGGGGCAGGCATCTCCTGAATTAGCCCTGGCTGATGTGTTGTTTCCTGTTCTGCCTTCCAGCATATGATTGCAGACACCGTCCGAACCCTGAGACACTGCCGGACCAATCAGTTTGGTGAGTCACTGAAGTTGGGTATGGAATGAAGTGCATTGTCTGTTGGAAAAGACTGTGGTCAAAGCACAGCAATGTTTGCTGGTAATAAATGAAATGTGGTGCACAGTGGGATGAGACACTTGTGGGTTGTCGACCCTGCAGCCTCCCTCATAACTGCACGTTTGGGATGCAGTAAAATATAAGATAAAGCAAGCTTTTAACCCTCGCGTGGCAGCACGGTACACTGAGATCTTGATTTAGGGCATGGGAGCTTGGACCACTCCTGGCAGTGTTCGGGGTTTACTCCTAGCTCTGTGCTCAGGGATCACTGCTGGCAGTGCTCAGGGAATCATATGTGCTGCTGGGGATCAAACCCAAGTCTCCACATAAAAGACAAGCACCTTATCCCCTGGTGTTTTTTTGTGGGTTTTTTTTTTTTTGCATTTTGGGTCACACCCAGCGATGCACAGGAGTTACTCCTGGTTCATGCACTCTGGAATTACTCCTGGCGGTGCCCAGGTCCCCTGTTCTATTCTCTGACCAGAACCGGACTTTTTCTTTTTTCTTTTTTTTTTTTAATCAGTGAACTCTATCAGTGAGATAATGTTTTTTTGGTTTGGCGTATTTGAATTTTGGGGTTTTTTGGGGGGAGGGGATCACACCTGGAAATGCTCAGGGGTTACTCCTGGCTCTGCACTCAGGAAGTGCTCCTGGTGGTGCTTGTGGAGACCATATGGGATGCCAAGGATTGAATCCTGATCAGCTACATGCAAGACAAACACCCTACCTGCTGTCCAATCCCTCCAGCCCTGATAGTGTGTGTGTGTGTGTGTGTGTGTGTGTGTGTGTGTGTGTTAATGTTTTTCTTTTAAAAGTGGCAAACAAAAAAGTTTGGAGAGTAGTATAGAAACTTTCCATGCATCTCACATTCAGTTTCCCCCAATTCTTGGTCTCTTGTTACAATGATTCAACCAATACTGTGAACTCATAACTCTAGAAAAGTTATTCTCAATTGTGGCTCAAATTCCTTTTCCCCATTTCTGCCTTTTAATCTCTGACCCAGTATGCTCTGTATTGCCTATGGGGTTTTATAGCTTGTTGTGGATGAATTGTTTATTTGAAGGGGGGTTGTTTTAGTCTCCCTGAAGTGCCCAGGATCTACTCCTGTCTCAGTCCTCAGGGGATCCATGTATTACTGGGGATCAAGCTTGCAAAGCATGCACCCCTATACCACCACCCACACCCACACCCCGGCCTTCCCTGAGGCTGTTATCAAAGGTGGTCCTCTCCTTCCCATGCTTATGTGGTGTCTTCCTGGAAGAGAAACCTCTGCTGTGAAGGCACGCTAAGATAATCTTCCTCTTCTCCAACAACTTCCTGCCTACAGCCGCCTTTCACTGGACGGATTTTTGTGTCCACTTTTCCAAACTCCCCATGGAAACTACTGTGTGTAGGAATATCCTCCCCAAATCTCAGGTATTCTTGACACCACTTTCAGTGGCTCAGACCCTGGGGCAGAGAGCTTCATAGCCAGGGTTTCTAGTCCTGCTCAGCCTCTTATTTGCTGCTGTTTCCCTTCTGTAAATGGGGCAATGACGTATTTGCTAAATTCAGTACAATGTTAGGTAGTATTAGGTAATTCAGTGTAAGTGCCTGTAAACTAAATAACCTAATCAGGTTAATTGCCTATCCTGAAGAAATCTAGGGAATTCGTGTTCACATCAACAGAATATGTATATACCTATGTTCATTGCAGCACTTAGTACAGTAGCCAGGATATGGAAACAACCCAGATGCCCAACTACAGATGAATGGATCAATAAGTTATGGTATATTTATACAATGGAATACTACGCAGCTCTAAGAAAGAAATGATTGGTTTCTGCATATTGCAACTATGTCGATGAAACTAGAGGGGATCATGCCGAGTGAAGTCAGAAGGAAAGAACAGATAGAGAATGATCTCTCTGTCTCTGTCTTCTGTCTCTCTCTTTCCGTATAAAAACATATAGGAAGGGAGCAACCAACGGCCAAAGGCCACTGAACTGGAGAGTTGCTCCACAGAGCGGAGTTCCTGCGGAAGGGACAGTTGGAACTTAAGTGGAAAGAAGTGGCCAGTTGGGTGGATGTGCTCTTAAAAAATGTATTAAGAAACTGTCATGAACAGATAAATCATTGCACCTTAAAAAGGGCATAAGTAAGATTTAATAACCCAAGTTTAATAAAATAAATCTACTTTGAATATTAAATGAAAAAATCTCAGGTTCGCTGCCAGGATAACAATACTTCCTCTGGATTTGTAATGAGCATCTACCTGGTAAATTTACTCCATGCCCACAGGTTCCCAGATTTATTTGACTTACTGCCCTCTTTTCAGGGGAAAAAAAGGACAGTACTACACCCTTTCACCTTTCCCAAAAATCTACCTCCTCTTATTTTCTTCTTTGTTTGATTTCTGAGCCACATCTGACAATGCTTAGGGTTTCCCCTGTCTCTGTGCTCAGGGATCACTCCTGATAGTACTTGGAGGAACCATATGGGTTGTCAGGTGTTGAACCTGGTCGACCAGGCTCAAGGCAAATGCCCTACCCGCTGTACTATCTCTGGCCCTACCTTCTTTAAAAACAAACAGAAAGAACCCCCCCATGCCCAATTATACCCTAAGCTACTCCCTGGCCCCCATCATCCCTGCCCTCCCTCTAGAGAGCGCACCCCCAGAAATGCTGCCCCACCTTCACAGGGGGATTACCTGGTCTTTGGAAAATTTATCAGTCTCCAGGTGGGAGCGATTGTTAAGGTGGTTAGGCGTCATCGTTTGACTTGCATGCAGCCAGCCCAAGTTCAATTCCAAGAATAACCCCTGAGAATCGCTGAGTGTGGCCCAAAAATTAAAAAAAAATTTTAATTAAAAAAACAAATAAAATTTTACCACTCATGAAACTAACTTCCCTTCCTTCCCCCCGCCCCAAACACAGGAGGTGACGTATCCCCGAAGGAGCACCATGAGTTGAAATCCTACGTGCATCACCTGTACGTGATCGACAGCCAGCAGACCCTGTTTGAGCTCTCGCACCGGATCGAACCCCGTGCATGAGCCGCCGCCGCTGCCCCGCGCCGCCCCCGCCCTCACACTGCAGCACTTTGAGCGCCGGGAATGTTCTAGACCCACAGCACGGGGCCCTCCTGCGGGCAGAAGTTGCTGAGTTTTATCAGCGGATCACCAGGCTCCCAGGCAGGGCAGCCACCAGCGCGTACCTGCAAGCAGCGTGCAGCGAGGGTCGCCCCTCATTGTCCTGGGGACCCGGAGGTGCCGCAGCTTCCCCGAAGCGGAGATGCCCCAGTTTCTCAGGGTCCCGTGCAATCCCGTTTCCAGTGTCCAAGCCGAGAGCACGCCTTGTCACACACATTCCAGGCGTTTCCTTGCACCTGTGCACCAAACGGGGAGTTTTCCGGGGCCTGGCGCCAGACTCTGCGGGCTTAGGCCGCTTACGCGCCCACAGCCGGCCAGCGCCGAAGATCTGCAGGGTCAAGGCGAGGTCTCTTGACATAAACTGGCAATAGCCGGGGGCCCTTTGCTCCCGTTTTCCAGAAGACAAACACCCAGGCCTGCACCCCTTTGCACCCACAGTCGTGTCTCCGTATTTGCTTGCAGGTGAAACTGTCTGCGCACAACCAATTTGTAGCTATCAGCCAGCTCTACTTAAGTTGCTTCTTCTTCGCTAACAGGGAAAAATTAGTCAACTGGAAGAAATGACTCAGTGCTGAATGAACCTCCACAGCATTTTCTTGACCTGTGCCAGCAGGTCAAGCTAGGGACACCGCGGGAAAGCCCAGTGCTGGACATGATGGAAGCACTTGGCCACTGTTCGCGGAGATGACGGTCACCAATGTCCACATCCTTGGGACAGGTGGCCACGGATGTTCCGTGGGTTGCAGCGGGCTCCTCGTCCACGGGACAGCGTGGTCCCCTCAGCTCAGGGAGGTTCTATGGGATCTGATGCAGGGAGCACGTCCTCCACAAGGCCAGAGTATTCAGACAGGGGCCCTAGCTTGTCCTTCAGAAATGAAAAGAACCCGCACATAGCCAAGTGTCTGGTTTATGCCGCACGCTTTGAAGTCCAGTATCTCCTTCCCAACCAAGACAGGGAACCTTTCATAATTTATCTTTTTTGTTCCCCCTCTGCCCACTCCCATCCTCGTTTTAAAATCAAACAGGTCATTTTATAGGTTGAGGAGCCTAGAGTTGAGATCACTTGCTATTCCCAAGGATTAATTAGCAGATGCCTCTCCATTCACACGAACAGGGAAGCATTTGAGTTGGGCTGCATTCTCGGAATCTGGCCTATCTATTGGAAAGTGGACTCACTACTAAAATGTCAGGGCCCTCCACACACACGAGCTCCCTTCCCCCTTCGTTTCTGGAGACTTCAGGACGTGGTACCCTGCCATCATGCCCACCTTTGCATCTCTGAGAAACCCATCCGGAACCATCCACACCCATTACTGAGCTGGGTGATGGCTCTCTGGCCTCTCTAGTTGGGCTGGTCCCTGGGGTCACGCAGCTTGAGGTGGATAGAATTGGGGGGTGAGCCTCCCCAGTCTGACCCAACATTATAAAAAAATCAGTCCCGAAATTTGAACAGGGTTTTGTAAAAAGACTCCATCTGGTCCACTCAGAGGATGCACCGGGGCTGGGGGGACCCATGGGGGACAGGCGTGGGGACTAGAGAGTCTGTGCTCCACCGATGAGCCCCCACACCACCAGCCCATGCTTTTCTCCTTGCCCCACGCTTCCGGGCAGCATCTGGCCAGCATAAGCATGGAAAGCCCTTTTGACTCTGTCTCTGGCTATTGACATGTTCATTCTCATCAAACACTGTGTTGCTCCTAGCGTGGGGGAGTTTCTGCAGGACACCTGCCACTAAGGCTTCTGTTGAGACCCACCTCCAGCCAAATGGATGCACAGACTGGCACAGTGTAGGCCATAGTGTGGACAGAGCTCCTCTTGCCCGGGCTAGACAGCCCTGAGGCCTTTGTCAATTATGTATCGGCCCTTCCAGCCCTGCCTCTGGAGGTCAGAATCCCCACATCCTTCTGAAAGGCAACCAGTCTCCAGAGAGTTTCCAGGCAGCTGCTCTTAGGAATTTCCGAAGCTTGGAGAAGTTGACGATTTGGAAGGGAAACAAGTGGAGGCAGGCGGGCAGCTTAATGGGCTGGAACACGGGCTTTGCAGACCGGAGGGCCAGGTTCAAGCCCTAGCACCACCTGGTCCCCGGAGCGCGGCCTGCCATGATCTTCCAGGGCCACGCAAGACAAATTTTCGGGTGATCTCAGCAGAGCTGCAGGATCTCAAGAGGAGGGAGGGAGGCCTAGTAAATATCTGAGCTCCTTTCTGGCTCTTCTCATTTCTAGGTGCAAAGGAAATCTCTGCATAGCCCCCCGCCTTATCAGGGCACCAACCTTTGTTCCCCTTCTCCCAGCTGCTTTATGTTGACTAGCGCTGAGCAGTCCTCATCTGGTGAGTGTCCAGCATATCTTGCAGCTCAGGGCTGGGCCCTGAAGCAGCAACCCGCTTCCGCAGCGCTTCAGCACCAGGCTCCCAAGATTTCCACACTTTGCTCTCTGATCTCATCGTGACACTTGCCCCGTGAGGGTCATGGTGCAGATTATCAGCTGCATCCCCATGATTCCTGGTTTGACTCATGAAGTTTAGTATCAGTTTTTTCTCAACTCCCACCATGCATAAGTCAGTCAGGGGGGCACTGAGGTTGGAGTCCAGAGTGTGGGGGGATGGGAGGAGTCCCCCTCCCCCCCGCGGGCACATGGAGAGAAGACTTAAGCAGAGTGTGGACTCGTTTCCAGAAGATGGAGGTCCTGGCACTTGTTAGAGGTGTAACACCTCCACCGTAAGTTCCAAGCCCAGTGGTTCCCAAGCCTACGGGGCACTGTTAATCCACACAGCTTGGCTCCAGGCAAACCCATTAAAATGGGGGTCTTCGGGCCCCCCACAGTTGATGGGCCCAAAGTTTTGCCTAAATGCTTCACAGATACGTCCTTACCTTTTCAGCCTGCTTGCAAGGAGTGGGCCTTTTGTGCTTATGGAGGGCTTGAAGGGAGAACGTTTTTTTAAAATTGCCAAAAAGTTAGGGGAAAGTGTACTACTGTATAAAAGCAAAGCTGTATATACTAAACGTTTTTTTAGCAGAGTGATATTTATTTGCATAGCCTATTTATTGTACTCATATTACACTGTTCTTACAGACCAGGATGAAATGTACGGCCCGAAGCAAGAACCTCTTGCCTTTTATTGCTTCTTTAGAACCCCCTTGTGTGCTGACCATTAGCCGCTAGCTGCCCCCCCCCCCCGGGGGGCACCCACCTTCCTTCTCAGGGACCACACTCCATAGTTTTCCACCGAGATCTGAGCTGGTAAATATGAAACGTTTGTTGAATTACCAGGATCGCCATTAACAGTGTTTTTTCCTTTTCCTCTCATATTTCACGCTTTCTGCCTCTGTATATAATAAAACAGTGCTGTGTATTTATCAAAGCTAGTAAGCAATAATTTATATGTAAAAAAAAATGCCCAAGCAATATAAGGTGAGAACTTCTATAAGTCACTGTTACCTTGTATTTTCAAGTGTTTTTTTTTAAAAAATGGCTTTTCCATTTTTCAAATATATGATTATGTTACAGATACCACGCGTGCGTCCTTGCTTCTTCCGGGGCTGTGACGGGGCTGCCTCACCGGTGCTTGGCAGTGAATGAGGCAGAGCTATTCCGAACTCAGCTCTTGGCAAGACCTTCTCCTTTAAGGGGCTGCTGGAGCGATAGCACAGAGGGTAGGGCGTTTGCCTTGCACGTGGCCGACCCGGGTTCGATTCCCAGCATCTCATATGGTCCCCCAAGCTCCGCCAGGAGTAATTCCTGAGTGCAGAGCCAGGAGTAACCCCTGTAACCCCTAAGCATTGCCACGTGTGACTCAAAAAGAAAAAAAAAACTTCTCCTCTAGAAATCTTCCATCTGTGCCTCCTCAGGGAATTGTGAACTCTCCTATTTGGGGATCCAGCAGCGCCCCTTGATCCTCTCACCCTTTCAGGCAGCAGCAGGAACTGCCCCTTCTGTATGAGCCCAGAGACTGGAGGGCTCTTAGCCCTGGTAGTGAGGCCCCAGGCCCTGCAGACAAAAGGCTGAGAGCAGTGCCCCTGAGAGCTGGGCGTACTGGGCATGCACATGCCCCTGCACCTTGTCCTACTTCAGTCTTCTCCACCCCTCTGAGGGGAGGCTTCTCCAAACCCCACCTTGGCCTTGGGCGTATTCTCATGCTCCCTGTGAGGAGATTTCCATCTCAGCACTTGCGACTTGGGAGCGGCCAGCCCCTTGCTTGGTTCTGTGTTTTCTGTAGGAGACCAGCTATGTGGCCCATAAAGCTGAGATGCCCAGGGCTGTCCCATCTCCTCCGTCCCAGGTCCCTGTGGCTGCCGGCCTCACTCTCCAGCTTGGGAAGGATGAGTAAGAGTAGTGTGAGTGCAAACCGAACACCATCAGCAGCAGCCTTGGCAAATACGTGGCAAATACGCTCTCGATAAACCACCCTCGCCTGAGCCCCAGTGTGGATGATGGGTGGTTCATGATGGATGGATGGATGGATGATGGGTGTGTCTCCCCACTGCACCACCCCCTGCTGCCCCACCCCCCCAAAATTTTCAGGACCGAAGAGATTTGGGGGATTAAGGAGCTTGTGGTTGATTCCTAGCCCCACATCCGGTCCCCTTAAGCACCTCTAGGGGTTACTCCCAAACAGAAGTAGCCCCTGAACACCACTGGGTGTGGCCCAAACTTCTCTCCACCCTCCAAATGAAAGAGAATTTTCTCCCCAAACAAACTTAACCATGTTTCCCTTACTCAAAAATCCTTTAATGGGGCTCAGAGGCTCAGAGGGCTGACATGCAAGATGGGACGCAGGAGACTCAGGTATTCGCTGGTACCACACAGTTCTCCAGTACTGCCAGGGCACCCCCAACCCCAAACAATCCTTCACCAGCACTTCCCAGGCTTAAAGAATTAAACCTCAATTGCATACATGCTCTTCAGATTCTGGCTTCTAGTCAACTGCCCAGGACCAAAGAGATGGGACAAGTGCCCCCAAGTGCAAAATAATAATTGGATTATAATAATAATAATAATAATCACTGTCACTGTCACTGTCCTCCTGTTGTTCATCGATTTGCTCAAGCGGACCCATTAACATTGTGAGATTTGTTACTGTGTTTGGCATATCGAATACGTCACTGGTAGCTTGCCAGGCTTTGCCGTGCGGGCGAGATACTCTCGGTAGCTTGCCAGGCTCTCTGAGAGGGGCGGAGGAATGGAACTCAGGTCAGCCGTGTTGGCCACGTGCAAGGCAAACGCCCTACCTGCTGTGCTATCGCTCCAGCCCATAATAATATTAATAATAATTGGATCCCTCTTCAATCAGTATTCTGCATCGAAAAAGGAATTGTCTGCTGCAAATGAAAGTGCTCTTTAAAATTGTGTGCACAATACTTCCAACTAATGAAAGTGTCTTCAAATGTCTCAGAGCCCGGGAACTGGCTCAGAGATCTGCATGTGGGAGCCCCGAGTTCGGAGACCCAGAACCTCATGGACCCCCTACGCCCACCCCATCTCCCAGCGCTGCTGCATGTGGCCCCAAACTTAAATTAAATCCTTAAGTTAGACTAACTAGGAGGCAGTGAGGGCGGGAGCACGGTTTCATGAGCCTGGGCCAGCTTCATTGCGTTAATTAAGGATCAGGAGCTGCATGAACCCTGCCCACCTGGGACTTGCCTCACTTCGGCCTCCTGAGCTCCCCTCCCCCTCTACCCCCTCGAACCCCGTCACAGTAGCTCCGTGAGCAGGTGCATGCCGGAGATTCCAGCTCAGGACTCGGGGCTTTGGAGAAGGAAGGAAGCCCCTTGGAGTTAAGAAGGCTCCTGCGCCTTTGTGTTCTGCTCAGGCACTGGAAGGGAAGGGCGCGGCGACCGCGACCGGAAGGGAGCGCCTCACCCCTTCCCCTCCGGTGCCCACTGCCCACTGCTGACGCCATCCAGCCCTGCTGGGGGGGAACCCGCCACAACAGCCCCACAAAGCATCGGGGGCCAACGGATAAGAGGGCAGAGCGTTCTTCTGCTGTCACCACCAGGCTCCTGTCTGGCGGGGAGGGGGGAAGGGGAGTTGCATAAGACAAGGCTCCGCCCCCCAACCCTCCTGGGAGCCCCGCCCCACACTGAGCCCTTTCCCACACCCCGTTTGAATTTCTACCCATGTGCTCCTCCTATCTGGGGGGCTCCCTGGAGGGCAGAAGGGCCAACAGTGTCCTTGAGGGTCAGCTTTGAATCAGGCTCAGCTACACCAGAGTGGGGGCCTGGCGGAGGTGACATCAGACTAAGTGACGTCTTGGGTACCCAAAGGGGGTGGTCAGGCCCAGAAGAGGCCTCTAGGAGGGCCAGTGTCGGACACAACAAGGGGACCACCTTTGGGGCCCAAGCACCACTTCCGGGGGCCAGAAGGAAGGTGCCTGTAAAATCAGGGTGACAGATGTGGCCTCATTGTCACTATTAACAAGGACGGGCTAATCAGTTTCTCCTTAGGCCTCTTCACACCTTCTTGGGGGTCCCAATGTCTTCAAGACCTCATGAGGCTCCCAGGAGACCTAGCTTGTCTCCCCCTTTCTCTGTCCCACCCTCCCCATTACATGTCCCTACTCCCCCCTTGCCCGGTTCACACGCCCCCCACCCCTTCCTGGTCAGAAGCTTCCCCTGTGGGCCTGGGCACGTCCTCATTTCCGACCCAGACAAAGGTGCAAAGGCCACGGTTCTTTAGTGGAATCATCTGTGGTTGGTGGGGGTGGGGAGAGGGTTTCTTTGGTTTCACTTAGGAGTCAGTGGATGAAAGCACACCCACACTGTGAGGAAGTTTCCTTCCTCAGCTGGAGAAGCCAAGAGGAGACAGGACAATTCACCCTGAGCTGTAGGATACACTGTGGAATAAAATGAACCAGTAACATCCGCCCCCTTAGTACATTAATTGCTTGTTTCTATGCAACAAACCTCAGCTTGGCAGAGTGTGTCTTTCTCCATAGCTACATGATATACCAGGCACAGTGCTTTTTTTTTTTCTTAAATTTCGGGCAGTGGGGGTGTGATATGGTGAGTGCCTGGCAGTGTTCAGGGCTGACTCCTGGCTCTGAGCTCAGGGCTGGCGAGACCTTATGTGGATTAAACTCAATTTAGCTGCATCTAAGGCAACCTCCTGACCCCCCACACCCCTACCTGCCATACTAGTGCATACTAGTTCTCTGGCTTCAGGCACTGTTCTGATGATTGAGAAACAGCCAGGAACAAAACAAAGATCCCTTCCCACATGGCACTTGGGTCCAGTTGGGTCATAAACGAGACATGTCAAATATGTACTGGTACATTCACTGATAAGAAGTTTCTAAAGAGGGAGGGAGGGAAGACCGAAGCCCGGGAAAGGGCTTGGAGAGTTCCTGGAAGGCAGGGGAAATTTTCTTTGGAATTGCACTGGGCATCCCCTCCGAGTTTCCGTGTTGACATAATAAGGTCACCTTGTTTGGAGATGGGCTCCTGACGGCTTATCGGTTTCCAGTGAAGTCACTACCGTCTGGCTTATCTTGTCACCCAGGATGTCCTCAGAACAGAAAATCAGGAACCAAACAGGAAGAACAGCATGTGAACCCAGGGACAGCCACCTCCCAGCTAAGGGACGAACCCTCCCACCTCCCCCCTCTCCTCTCTCCCTCCTCCTCCCAGCACCCACCCCCCCCCACCCCCCACCCCCCCCCCGCATGGACTCCACCCACCCAATCAGGTATAGGTTCCTGGCCTCCAGAACCCTGAGACCAACTGCCTGGGAGGAGTGCCTTCCTAAGGTCACTGCCCAGACCAACACTAGAGGAAGGAGGTTGGGAACAGTGCAGGTGTGTTGTCCATGGGGGCTCAGGATTCCTGGTTTGGCTGGGGCCTAGCACAGGGAGCCCCTATGACTACAAAAGAAAGTTTAGGTTTTGAGTGAGCCCTCAAGTTTTGTATGCAACATGAATAAACAGGGACCGGAGTGATAGTACAGTGGGTAGGGTGTTTGCCTTGCATTTGGCCAACCTGCACTCGATCTCAGCATCCCATATGGTACCCCTGAGCCCTGAGCCATGAGTAAGCATTAAGTACTGCCAGATGTGTCCCCCAAACAAACAAACATTGACAAACTAAGTGGGGAGAGAGAGTACAGTAAAACAGGTACTTGCTATGAATTCTGTCCATTAGGGTTCCATCCCTAACACCACAAAGCCTCATCAGGAGTAATCCCTGAGGACAGCCAGATGTGGTCCAAAATCAACAGCAGCAATTAGCATACACAGTCTTGAAGTGATGGTTTTTAACAGCTCTGAGAAGGTAGTTTTGGCTCCTTGATGTTCACGCTCCCACATACATCATCATGGGCCCAAGCTGGTCTCTCAGGTTCTGTCTCTCAAAACCCACCATTGGTATCCTGTCACTGCAGCTCAGGTGCCTTTCTCTCAGGGCATTTTGTCCCTTTGCTTTGTTCTCAGGCCATATGGGTGAGAATTGCTGCTTTAAGTCTTCTGCTGACACAGGCCGAAGAGGAAGTTACCTTCCCTGTGTCCCCTTTAATAAG